GGTCCAGATTATCTAGCCCAGATGATTTGTAGGGGTCCAGATTTTGCAGCTCTTTTAGAACATCAGCTGTCTGAATTTGTGTGAAGGAGAAGCGGGGCGGGGCGGGGCGGGGGGTAGTGGTAGCCAGTTGGAAAGCATGGCCAGCCGTAGCAAAATGCTTGTTGAAATTCTCGATTATTGTAGATTTATCGGTGGTGACAGTGTTTCCTAGCCTCAGTGCAGTGGGCAGTTGGGAGGAGGTGCTCTTACTTTCCATGGACTTTCCAGTGTCCCAAAACTTTTTGGAGTTAGTGCTACAGGATGCAAATTTCTGTTTGAAAAAGCTAGCCTTTGCTTTCCTAACTGCTTGTGTATATTGGTTCCTAACTTCCCTGAAAGGTTGCATATTGCGGGGGCTATTCGATGCTAATGCAGTACGCCACAGGATGTTTTGGGGCTGGTCAAGGGCAGTCAAGTCTGAGGAGAACCAGGGGCTATATCTGTTCTTAGTTCTGAATTTTTTGAATGGGGCATGCTTATTTAAGATTGAGAGGAAAGCACTTAAAGAACAACCAGGCATCCTCTACTGACGGAATGAGATCGATATCCATACCTGGGCCAGGTCAATTAGGAAGGCCTGCTCGATAGTGTTTTAGGGAGCATTTGACAGTGATGAGGGGTGGTCGTTTGACCGCGGACCCGTTACGGACGCAGGCAATAAGGCAGTGATCGCTGAGATCCTGGTTGAAGACAGCAGAGGTGTATTTAGAGGGTAAGTTAGTCAGGATGATATCTATAAGGGTGCCCATGTTTACAGATTTAGGGTTGTACCTGGTAGGTTCCTTGATAATTTGTGTGAGATTGAGGGCATCTAGTTTGGATTATAGGATGGCCGGGGTGTTAAACATATCCAACTATATATAGCCGTATGGTATAGGGTAGTGTTGTCACAAGACCAGAATTTTGACTTCGATACCAGGTTTACTATCACAATACCATCACAATACCAAAATGATGCCATGGCAAAAAAAGAAGGCATATTAGCCAAAGTCACAGAATGGCACTTCATCCAGACAGATAAACTCAGCTACTGCTCTGTTCAATCATTGGGCATCTTTTGAGTTCAATATCATTACATTTGAACATTTTTATGTCAATTTTTCAGAGACAGCAATGTACGCATTAATGAATCAATCATACAATCAATTTGACTGTTTTTACCAATCGAACTACATTTCGGTAATAATTTATTTGAATGGTAAATCTATTGATAACTGGGTATGGCCTATCCACAATACAGGTGAATGCATATTCAACAGGAGTGTGTGCATGCATTGAGTTTTAGCTTGTTTTGGCTGATTTCATGGGGCTACAGACGACAAAAAATCAGTTTCCCTTCCATTTAAGATGTTGTTGATCAGTACAATAAATACATTTGCATAGAAGTAGATTATTTTATAAAAATGTGTGCTGTCGCTAATCAGTAATGACATCATTCACGAGGCAAGAGGGAGCGGTCCGTCGGAGCACAGTCAGTTCGCTGAGGCAATAGATCATATTTTGGAAGAGACGTGAGCGAGACCAAATAATCAAATTAATGAAGTTTTTGGTGGCAATCAGCCTTGAAATCAGCATATTTTGCATTATGGTTTGCATATAACAACAAACAAAGTACTTGGGTAGTGAATTGACGTTAGCTTTACCTAGCAAGCAAAGCTAGCCTACAAAGCTGGAAGCTACCGGTATCTTCTTGCATTGTAAAGTGTTCTAGCACATATGGACATTGTTTTGTGAAGTTGCGAACAGTAATTTACAGTTTCAACATTTCCACATGCGCGTCGCATTATTCAAGTGTGTTAACTTCTGTGCAGCATGAGCGGGGAGCTAACATGATTCAGACTCCCAGTGAAGGCTAGCAATGAGTAAGTGGAGCAGTCACGGTTGGCGCTATAATAAAAGGGGTGGGCTGCGCTGATAGACACATTTGACAGTACTGAAAGTAACAAAAATTTGAGTACCAAACCGTTTTTCATGTTCTAGTATCAAAAGGTTTCGGTATACCGTGCAACACTAGTATAGATCACATAAATGGAGAAACATGAATAATCCAAGCCATGCATAGGAAAATGGTAATAGCAAGACAAATGTATAACTTGGAAAGGAAATTGGTCAAGTAGCCTAGCCAATACCTGTAACAGCAATACGCAATCTACTTATGTTGGATACAAATAAAAAATATATCCAGATAAAGAACAAATGTGCGCCATGTTTCACACAGAGACAAATAAAATGTCAAAATGTGTGCAACCCCAGTGTATTTTTCTACTCAACTCCTCTAAAGTAGAACTGCCTCTGGTCAGCCCTCCAGCAGGCCATATAGTACTGCCTGCACACGTCAGACAGACAACTCCACTCTGGTACCCACACACTCCATGCAACCATACACTACTACACATAGTAAGAGGGGGACTGATTTACTAAACCCAATTACCAGAGGTCATGGGTTAAGGATTGGAGAACCACTCAACTCTTTTATTTTTTGTCAATATTGAAGTTCATTGTTATCATTGAGGAGAATATTCAGAAAAACAACCTTTCAATAGAATTATCAAATCTCAGACAGAACCAGAATAGTAGAACTAGTTACATGGATAACTAATAGAAACTGTCTCTACGGCGTGACATGATAGCTGCTTGGTAAAATGTGTGAGCAGCTTGATATTCTGGCATGAAGTCCCTTCATGATGTCACATGCCCATACACCAGGGAATGTAGCTTAAGGGGCTGTGGATTCCAAAATAAAAGCATGGTCTCATAAACAAACTCTCAGTTCTACATTATTCGTCTGGTACTTCATGCCATCATGGCATATGTATGTGTCTGGTCCACAGCATTATTTCTGTTCTCCGAGATATAGACTCACAGAAAGTGAAACACTAACAGTCATTCAGAAGTTCATGGGGAAAAGGCAATTTCACTACGGAGCTGTCACCTAGCAACGCAGATAAGCTAATGTTTTTGGTGCGGAACATGTTGGAATGGATAAAAAATCTGTTGCGTCTCTGACAATGGAATGAGAATAGTGGGTGGAGATAAAGGTGCTATGCTCTGTCAGACATTTAGGCTACCATTTCCTTTTTTGTGACCCACAGGTACAATATAGAAATTCATATAATATTCAGCTCGTAATATTTTTAAAGGTACATAAATACAAAGTATTGATCATTAAGACCATATTAAAATTTAAAAGTAATTAAACATTTAATATGTAAAGGAAAATATTTTCCTTTACGGGTTTTCGCTCCACCCTTGTACTTGATTGATGAATTAAGGTCAATAATTAGTAAGGAACTCCCCTCACCTGGTTGTCTAGGTCTTCATTTAAAGGAAAAACTAAAAACCCACACACACTGCCCTCCGTGGAATGAGTTTGAGACCACTGGTGTAAGTAAGCATGTCACTTTCCCACTTAAAAAGGGAAATAGCACACATTTTCATAATCTCTAGCACCACTCCAACATCAACAAAAGAAAAAGGCGCGTTTCTATGTTTGTGGAATAAAAAATAGCAGAAGATAAGTGTTTCCAATGACATCGTTGTGCATCATGTGACTTTAACCAATTCCGAATAGGCATTGCCTACTAATGTGCTGGATGACAAATATGAATTGGACATTTTTTAAAATTTCCCTTTAATAAACCATCTCTCACAGAAGTCCCTGGGCATATCCATAATACCGCAACAGCATATCATTATTTCAAGGGAAACTTCTAAACGGCCAATTAGGGCCTACTACACCTGTATCCTACATAAGGAGCACAATGATATATTGATATATTCCTAGGGGAATGGGGCTCCATCAAAGAGGACTAAGTTGCATGCTGTTATCAATCTTTGGGAGAAAAGCCTTGCCGTCTAGCCTATAACACAGTGATTCTGCTTTCTAAAGCACCAACCTCAGAGCATCTCTGATCTCAGCTTGGTTTTAATCTCAGCCTGGTCCGTGGAGGGGGAGGAAGGTGGTTTGCAGGAATGACCTATAACTCCTACACAAGTGTACGTTGTCATCCGTTCTCAAAAAACTATCATCTTTCCCGCCTACTCCTGTCGGCTTGAAAAAGCAATCCAGTCCCACTGCCTTCCAATCTCTCACACATCCACCTCATCCCATCGCCAGCCCCGCGACAATCATCTTCTCATCAGACATCCCACTCACTGCTCACTGACATCCAAGCAGGTAATTACTCCAATGCAGGCAAATTACAATGCGCTGCAGACATCTAGATTGCTTTGTATATGCATGCATGTATGACTGACCAGACTGTCTGTCCAATCGACCTTGACCTTGTTAATGGAATTTTGTTTTGTCCAAAGACATGCTGTAAGACAGGCCATATCAAACTAGCACAACAGCACTTAATGCTAAATGAATAAATTCATACTAAATGCATTAATTAATTGTAATTTCACCAAAGCATGCTGACCATTGTCTTCAAAACACACCATGATATATATGCATTTTATTCATAATGGTGTACTATACTGCTGCTTACATTTACTGTACCAAAGCTTTTATTCAGACTCTGCCATCTTCTACTATTCAGAGAAAGGATTGACATTTCAAATGTGCACCATAACACAGGGCTAGATATCCACTTAGACATTTGAGATCCCTTTTCCCCTGTGAGCTAGTGTGATAATGGCATTTGTGAGCACTACAAATGCACCGTTTAATTTACTGCGTTATTCCTATCGATTTTGGAATCATTGGTGGAGCCCTCCTCCACCTGCTGAGAAGGATTAGCCACCAGTAAATACAAGCCTTGCAAAATGTATCATCATTAACAAATGGAGGACAATCATATTTAAATGGTGCTCAATTTCTAATAAATGAATAAATTATTGATTGAGCAAAACTAAATATATCCCTTCCTCTATTCTCAGGGGATGTAAGACTTCAAATAATGGGCAGAGTAATCCCTAGAATAATATGGAGTTACTCGTAATACCTCCATAAAGTCCTAGAGGAACAGCTTATGTCGGGCTGTGAATGATGTGATGTGAATCTGTAAATAATATATGACACATTTAAACCCATGTCATAGTCTTCAAATTACAAGTATTCCAGTTACATGCCATTATTCGGTATAAAAATAAAAACAGAGGTCTACAAAAATGTCCTTACCGCAAGTGCTTTGGACAGTCTTGTACGGAAGTCGTTGAGAACGATGGTGACAATGTCCTGGTGAGGGATGTAGACATAGCCCCCCTTCAGGTAGACCTTCCTGGTTCTCACCAGATCCAACGCATCTTGGAATGGGACCTTGAAATAAAACAGAAACGGGGGTATGAGGTAATACATTCAACATAACTTGCTCATCCAGATGTTTTGCCTCCCAATAGAATATTCATTCTCTTAACACAGGGGTGCACTTACAGTTGAAGTCGGAAGTTTACATACACCTTAGCCAAATACATTTAAACTTAGTTTCACAATTCCTGACATTTAATCCTAGTAAAAATTCCTGTCTTAGGTCAGTTAGGATCACCACTTTATTTTAAGAATGTGAAATGTCAGAATAATAGTAGAGAGAATTATTTATTTCAGCTTGTATTTCTTTCATCACATTCCCAGTGGGTCAGAAGTTTACATACACTCAATTAGTATTTGGTTGCATTGCCTTTAAAATTGTTTGTTTAACTTGGGTCAAATGTTTTGGGTAGCCTTCCACAAGCTTCCCACAATAAGTTAGGAGGAATGGGCCAAAATTCACCCGACAGAGCTGGTGTAACTGAGTCAGGTTTGTAGGCGTCCTTGCTCGCACATGCTTCTTCGGCTTGCAAACATAACGATGGTCATTATGGCCAAACAGTTGTATTTGTGTTTCATCAGACCAGAGGACATTTCTCAAAAAAGTACAATCTTTGTCCCCATGTACAGTTGCAAACCGTAGTCTGGCTTTTTTATGGCGGTTTTGGAGCAGTGGCTTCTTCCTTGCTGAGCGGCCTTTCAGGTTATGTCGATATAGGACTCGTTTTACTGTGGATATAGATACTTTTGTACCCGTTTCCTCCAGCATCTTCACAAGGTCCTTTACTGTTGTTCTGGGATTGATTTGCACTTTCCGCACCAAAGTACGATCATCTCTAGGAGACAGAACGCGTCTCCTTCCTGAGCGGTATGACGGCTGCGTGGTCCCATGGTGTTTATACTTGCATACTATTGTTTGTACAGATGAATGTGGTACCTTCAGGCATTTGGAAATTGCTCCCAAGGATGAACCAGACTTGTGGAGGTCTACAATTTTTTTTCCTGAGGTCTTGGCTGATTTCTTTTGATTTTCCCATGATGTCAAGCAAAGAGGCACTGCGTTTGAAGGTAGGCCTTGAAATACATCCATAGGTACACCTCCAATTGACTCAAATTATGTCAATTAGCCTATCAGAAGCTTCTAAAGCCATGACATCATTTTCTGGAATTTTCCAAGCTGTTTAAAAGGCACAGTCAACTTAGTATATGTAAACTTCTGACCCACTGGAATTGTGATACAGTGAATTGTAAGTGAAATAATCTGTCTGTAAACAATTGTTGGAAAAATTACTTGTGTCATGCACAAAGTAGATGTCCTAACCGACTTGCCAAAACGATAGTTTGTTAACAAGACATTTGTGGAGTGGTTGAAAAACAAGTTTTAATGACTCCGACCTAAGTGCATGTAAACTTCCGAATTCAACTGTATATGTCCTCTAATATAACCACGTGAGGATTTCACCTTTGTAGAAAAGAACGGAAAATTGATAACTCACTTTGTAGAAGTCTTGGTAGTCAACCGTGGTTCCACTGACAGCAAATCTTGAGTTGATGAGTTTGTCCATCAGGTTGTTCTTCTCTTCAACACTAATCTAGACATTAGGAAAAGGTAGTTGGCATTCAGTCACAGAAACAAGCATATTGACCCTTGATAGTATAGCTATCTAACGATGTAATGTTCTCCAGAGTGAGATGAAGACTGTTGTACACTTGCCCATCTATCATGTCCTCTTACGCCTAAACAAACGAAAGACAATCTGTCCTCGGGCTGTCGATGACCTATCTGACTGGTATGGGTCTCAATCAATAGAGTGGAAGCAGCAAACACATGGTAAGGCGAGGGAGTGGAGAGCTGGTTCGTATTCATTAGTTCATATGAGTCACTCCCTGTTTCAGTCCATTTTGGCCTGGCATAAATGCCATTGTGGGATATCTTACACTGAAGACCCATAATGCATCAGATGCTTTATCATCACAACATATCAGGCTTTAATAATAGCTATGTTTCATAATTGGTGACAATATGCGCATTTTCCCACCACAGATGTGTTTCCATCAAATGTACTTGCTGCGGATAAAAGGCTGAGCATGATGACGTAGTGCACATAAAAATAACTTTTGCGGTTCAATTCCCATGTACCAAATAAAATACAAGTTAAATGGGTTTTCGTCGCATTTAACTCTGATGGTTTTGTCACAAAAAATGTGCGCTATAGCCAACAGCTTGCACATACAGTGCAGGTATAGCACGTGATGAGATTTTAAAATGGACAAAAGAGCAAGATTTTTATTTGTCAAAACGGCAGCCAAGCATCGATCATGTCACCAGAACGAGACCCTCTACGTTTATTGTAAAGGAGCATCAAGGTCTTCACTGTGCATTTCATCTGTAGCCTAATACACTGCACGCTTTCAGAGTCGTAGTGGGAGGAACACACAACATATCAGAGTGACTCCATGTTTACTTTGACATGGTTATTATATCAATATTTGCACATAAAAAGGAGTTGACCGCAATTTCTTGCATAATTAATTTTACCGACACAAAAAGATCCCACCTTGTCTAGCGTATTTTGTCTTGTCGACATTTGGAAAGTTTATCAACAAATCTGCTTTTTCTGTTCCCATCAGGTCAGTCGTGACATTTTTTATCCGACATGTATTTTACTTGCATAAAAAGGTTGGCTGGAAACCTGGTTACTGTAATAGAAACGGGGATAAACACAGCCAACCATAAGGGCAGATAAAACACAGCCAACCATAAGGGCAGATAAAACACAGCCAACCATAAGGGCAGATAAAACACAGCCAACCATAAGGGCAGACGGAGTTAGAACCTTGCCACCCATCTCCCAAGACATTATCAAAGAAAGGCTGCCAGCTATGTAGAACCTGCGGCCATAACAAACGCTTTACCATCTGTCACTCAAATAATGATATCCAGGGCAGAGTATGTGAGCGGAGCGGGATTCCCAAAGGCTGGAGCGTCGGCCTTCTCGCTCGCTCCAATTTCGCTCCAGTAGCGCTCACTTCACGAGCTCAGGGCATGCCCGGCCCAGCATTCATTTGCTTTAGCTACTGTCATGGAGTTCGCTAAATATTTTCATAAACTGATAAAACACAGGCGCTAAATCAAGGTGACTTACAAAGACTAAGACCAAGAGCAAGAGAAGGAGTGCGGTGATGTAGTGTCCACAACTAAAGAATCATTGTGGAATCTGAAGACACATATCCCGAAAGCATGATGCTTTACTTACTACGTGTACATGCTAAAAGAAAGGAACGAGGTGGGTAGATAACTGTGTGTCATTGTAGCAAAGTATTTCTAAACTAAAAAGCAGATCTCTTAAACTTTTCGTTCATTTTTGTTCTATTATCTATACAATAGGCCATAACGGTTTATGGCCCAATAGGCCTGGCATATTAAACAGCTTTCCGTTTTGATTGTTTTTTTTTTGCCTAAAAACCTTTAGGCATACCTATAGGAAAATAATAATAAACATCTCTGCCATAGCCTGGCAAGAGTGGCCAAAAGGATGTTTAGTATCCCCAGTGGCTCTACAAGTGTGGAGAGGATATTCTCCGCTGCTGGCCGGCTCTCCAGGCACCATCGGATGAGCCTGAAGCCGCAGACTGGCCAAACTCGTGTTTCTAAAAATGAATTCAAAAAAGGCACTAATAAGTCATTGTTCGTTTAATTTGTATTTAAGTAAGACTATGATGATTCAATACAACAGAATGTTGTTTAAATGCTGAAAGCTGTACGTCCCTGCCAACCTATTGTGTCGCACTCGCAGATGCTTCACAATGTATTCCTTTGTAGGCTATAGGCTTGAAATAATATAGCCTAAATTATTCATTTTCGTTCCATCTTAGGCTCCCTGTCTGGCTGCCCTACTTAGAGTGTTTATATGCTGTTTAATATGACATGTAGCCTATTTGAAATTATGTTCGCTTCTTACATTCACCTTTTTTTTCATTCAAATCCATATGGTTTGGTTTCAATAAAAATAGATGGTGTTGGTTAAATTGTGATTTTAATGAATGGAGTGAATTTGGAGCAGCAGTTTCTCACAGGTTTTTTTCTGTGAGTGTGGAGCGGTTTTTAGTGGAGCGGTAGGAAACGACATGGAGCACTGGAGCGGTGTGCAAGCACCTCTCCATGAGTGATGAGCGGGATCTCCAACCGCTCATCTCCACTCACATGCTCTGATCCAGGGACTGTTTGGGGAAATGTTCTACCTATCCCCTTCTGGGCAATGTATGTGATGAATGGACTTTTTCACAGTGCAAAAATAAATGCGAGTTGGTGGGAGGGAGGGGAATCACCTCCCTTGTTGCCATATTGCAATACTAAAAACACTGCTCTACTCACTGGTCATGTCAAATTAAATGAAAAGGAGCATGTTCTATACAGTACTGTAAATGTGTACTATTTAATTATTTGAGTTCAATTGATTTATCTTGTACAAGTTTTAATTTATCACAACAAATGTTATGGAACACACCTGGAAGTAAAACAGAATTCAACTTCAAAATAGATCGATTGCAAAAACAACCCTCACCACAGCAGACGTTTTCAGACAGGTATACTATTGTGAGCTGACACCGCCATCTGCTGGCGGGTCTGAAACATTACCAGAAATATGTCCAAACAGCATCATGAACAGACTTACTGAGAATTTATATTTAGTGCATACCACTTCTGCATTCACCAATGGAGGACAGGGATGAACCATTTGCTTGGTTATGCCAATTCCCGTCTTTATATTGATGGCAGAGCTGTTTTGCTCACATTTGAGAGTAAAATGTGCATTTCCCTCCACAACAACAACATAAATAAATAGACTCACTGTATGATAGTGAAGATTATTGCGATGCAGAAATTCGCTTTGGTTTTTGGGATGCAGGTGTTTGAAGCGATAACGGAAGAGGTCAATCTCTTGCTGGATAAACCACCGTCTGAGATCTTCTCTGCAAGATTAAAAAAGTAAACTTATTGTTTGTTCAATTTACAAAGTAAGAGAATCACTTGGTATGTTGTGTCACAAATCATTTGGTAGAAGACATCCTCCTCTTGGTACATGCCTATTTGGAGAAAGGGACATTACATGTTTATTGAAAAGGCTGTAAAGACTTCACTTACGTTTGGCAGTATGCAAGCCGGAGAATGAAGTGGGAGATATGGTCCTTTCTTCGCTTCTCAAATTCACTGGGCCCAGTTTGAGGTTTCCGGTCATCCTTAGTGGTTTTAAAAGGAAAGCATACCTGAACATCTCAACATCCCAAAAGAAAGCATTCTCCATTTCAATATCAATGTCAAACTCTTGATCACCACCTGCAATTCACCAGTGTTTTCTATTTTCCTTTGATGAAGGACTGAAAAATCAATACACACTATGAGTAGAGCTGACCCCAATTATTCGACTGGCGCAGCGGTGTAAGGCACTGCATCTCAGTGCTTAAGGCGTCACTACAGACCCCCTGGTTCGATTCCAGGCTGTATCACAACCGGCCATGATTGGGAGTCCCATAGGGCGGCGCACAATTGACCCAGCGTCGTCCGGGTTTGGCCGGTGTAGGCCGTCATTGTAAATAAGAATTTGTTCTTAACTGACTTGCCTGGTTAAATAAAAGGTGAAAATAAATAAATAATATAAAAAAATTGGTCGATATAGGCTGTTGGTCGACCGAGAAGCAAATATACACTACCGTTCAAAAGTTTGGGGTCACTTAGAAATGTCATTGTTTTCTAAAGAAACGCAATTTCTTTGTCCATTAAAATAACATCAAATTGATCAGAAATACAGTGTAGACATTGTTAATGTTGTAAATGGCTATTGTAGCTGGAAACTGCTGATTTTTAATGGAATATCTACATAGGCGTACAGAGGCCCATTATCAGCAACCATCAGTCCTGTGTTCCAATGGCACATTGTGTTTGCTAATCCAAGTTTATCATTTTAAAAGGCTAATTGATCATTAGAAAACCATTTTGCAATTATGTTAGCACAGCTGAAAACGGTTGTGCTGATTAAAGAAGCAATAAAACTGGCCTTCTTGAGACTATTTGAGTATCTGGAGCATCAGCAATTGTCGGTTCGATTACAGGCTCAAAATGGCCAGAAACAAATAAACTTTCTTCTGAAACTCATCAGTCTACTCTTCTTCTGAGAAATGAAGACTATTCAATGCGATAAATTGCCAAGAAACTGAAGATCTCGTCCAACGCTGTGTACTACTACCTTCACAGAACAGCGCAAACTGTCTCTAACCAGAATAGAAAGAGGAGTGGGAGGCCCCGGTGCGCAACTGAGCAAGAGGACAAATACATGAGTGTCTAGTTTGAGAAACAGACGCCTCACAGGTCCTCAACTGGCAGCTTCATTAAATAGTACCCGCAAAACACCAGTCTCAACGACAACAGTGAAGAGGGCGACTCCGGGATGCTGACCTTCTAGGCAGAGTTGAAAAGAAAAAGCCATATCTCAGACTGGCCAATAAAAATAAAAGATTAAGATGGGCAACAGAACACAGACACTAGACAGAGGAAGATTGGAAAAAAGTGTTATGAACAGACGAATCGAAGTTTGAGGTGTTCGGATCACAAAGAAGAACATTTGTGAGACGCAGACCAAATGAAAAGATGCTGGAGGAGTGCTTGATGCCATCTGTCAAGCATGGTGGAGGCAATGTGATGGTGGTAAAGCGGGAGATTTGTACAGGGTAAAAGGGATCACTCCATTTTGCAACGCCATGCCATACTCTGTGGACGGCGCTTGATTGGAGCCAATTTCCTCCTACAACAGGACAATGACCCAAAGCACAGCTCCAAACTATGCAATAACTATTTAGGGAAGAAGCAGTCAGCTGGTATTCTGTCTATAATGGAGTGCCCAGCACAGTCACCAGATCTCAACCCTATTGAGCTGTTGTGGGAGCAGCTTGACCGTATAGTACGTAAGAAGTGCCCATCAAGCCAATCCAACTTGTGGGAGGTGCATCAGGAAGCATGGGGTGAAATCTCTTCAGATTACCTCAACAAATTGACAACAAGAATGCCAAAGATCTGCAAGGCTGTAATTGCTGCAAATGGAGGATTCTTTGACGAAAGCAAAGTTTGAAGGACACAATTATTATTTCAATTAAAAATTATTTTTTCTAACCTTGTCAATGACTACATTTCCTATTCACTTTGCTATATTTCCTATTCAAACTAATTTCATGTATGTTTTCATGGAAAACAAGGACATTTCTAAGTGACCCCAAACTTTTGAACGGTAGTGTATATACAGTACCCGTCAAAGGTTTGGACACACCTACTCATTCAAGGGTTTTTTCTTTATATTTTTACTATTTTCTACATTGTAGAATAATAGCGAAGACGTCAAAACTAAGAATAACACATATGGAATCACGTAGTAACCAAAAAAAAGTGTTAAACAAATCAAAATATATTTTATATTTGAGATTCTTCAAAGTAGCCACCCTTTGCCTTGATGACAGCGTTGCACACTTGGCATTTTCTCAACCAGCTTAATGAGGTAGTCACCTGGATTGCATTTGAATTAACAGGTGTGCCTTGTTAAAAGTTAAATTTGTGGAATTTCTTTCCTTCTTATTTTGTTTGAGCCAATTAGGTAGTTGTGTTGTGACAAGGTAGGGGTGATATACAGAAGACAGCCCTATTTGGTAAAAGACCAAGTCCATACTATGGCAAGAACAGCTAAAATAAGCAAAGGGAAACAGTCCATCATTACTTTAAGACACGAAGGTCAGTCAATACGGAATATTTAAAAAGAACTTTGAAAGTTTCTTCAAGTGCAGTGGCAAAAACCATCAAGCGGTATGATGAAACTGGCTCTCATGAGGACCACCACAGGAAAGGAGGACCCAGAGTTACCTCTGCTGCAGAAGATACGTTTATTAGTTACCAGCCTCAGATTGCAGCCCAAATAAATGCTTCACAGAGTTCAAGTAACAGACACATCAACTGTTCAGAGGAGACTGACAATCAGGCCTTCATGGTCGAATTGCTGCAAAGAAACCACTACTAAAGGCCACCAATAAGAAGAAGACACTTGCTTGGGCCAAGAAACACGAGCAATTGACATTAGACCGGTAGAAATCGGTCCATTGGTCTGATGAGTCCAAATTTGAGATTTTTGTTTCCTACCGCTGTGTCTTTGTGAGACGCAGAGTAGGTGAACGGATTAACACTGCATGTGTGGTTCCCACCGTGAAGCATGGAGGAGGTGGTGTGATGGTGTTTTGCTGGTGACACTGTCTGTGATTAATTTAGAATTCAAGGCACACTTAACCAGCGTGGCTACCACAGAATTCTGCAGCGATACGCCATCCCATCTGGTTTGTGCTCAGTAGGACTATCATTTGTTTTTCAACAGGACAATGACCCAACACCTCCAGGCTGTGCAAGGGCTATTTGACCAAGATGGAGAGTGATGGAGTGCTGCATCAGATGACCTGGCCTCCACAATCACCCGACCTCAACCCAATTGAGATGTTTTGGGATGAGTTGGACCCCAGAATGAAGGAAAAGCAGCCAACAAGTGCTCAGCATGTGGGAACTCCTTCAAGACCGTTGGAAAAGCATTCCAGGTGAAGCTGGTTGAGAGAATGCCAAGAGTGTGCAAAGCTGTCATCAAGGCAAAGGGTGGCTACTTTGAAGAATATCAAATATATTTGGATTTGTTTAACACTTTTTTGGTTACTACATGATTCCATAGATGTTATTTCATAGTTTGATGTCTTCACTATTATTCTACAATGTAGAAATAGTAAAAATAAAGAAAAACCCTTGAATGAGTAGGTGTCCAAACTTTTGACTGGTACTGTATATATTTTATGGCACACGAGACATCTTAGCTCCCTCTGTAGATGCCTACTGGACAAATGGATTTGTATTGCTTTTAAGACTTTTAATGAATTTTTATCTTAAACACATTTTATTCTAGGTAGCTAGTTGTATAGGTAGCTATCAAGTAAACGCCTGTCTTATTTGCGCCCATCTCAGTGAACTAATCCATTGCGGAGGCCGCGGGGATGGCGCAGTCCAAGAAGGGGAGTGTGGCTGCACAATGCACGTCTCTTCAGAATGCGCCCTCTCCCACCAATTTGTGCACATTCATTGTTTCATAACTTAATTGTGTGTATTGTTTGCGTTTGATTGTTAGTGTATTAATTCCCCATTACATATATCACCAGTAGTACATTTACTGTTACTTCCTATAATTTCTAATCTAACATGTTTTTTTGATTACGGTAATGTCTGTTAATGCATTCTATTATATACAGTGGGGGGAAAAAAGTATTTAGTCAGCCACCAATTGTGCAAGTTCTCCCACTTAAAAAGATGAGAGGCCTGTAATTTTCATCATAGGTACACGTTAACTATGACAGACAAAATGAGGGGAAAAAATCCAGAAAATCACATTGTAGGATTTTTTATGAATTTATTTGCAAATTATGGTGGAAAATAAGTATTTGGTCAATAACAAAAGTTTCTCAATACTTTGTTATATACCCTTTGTTGGCAATGACACAGGTCAAACGTTTTCTGTAAGTCTTCACAAGGTTTTCACACACTGTTGCTGGTATTTTGGCCCATTCCTCCATGCAGATCTCCTCTAGAGCAGTGATGTTTTGGGGCTGTCGCTGGGCAACACGGACTTTGAACTCCCTCCAAAGATTTTCTATGGGGTTGAGATCTGTAGACTGGCTAGGCCACTCCAGGACCTTGAAATGCTTCTTACGAAGCCACTCCTTCGTTGCCCGGGCGGTGTGTTTGGGATCATTGTCATGCTGAAAGACCCAGCCACGTTTCATCTTCAATGCCCTTGCTGATGGAAGGAGGTTTTCACTCAAAATCTCACGATACATGGCCCCATTCATTCTTTCCTTTACACGGATCAGTCGTCCTGGTCCCTTTGCAGAAAAACAGCCCCAAAGCATGATATTTCCACCCCCATGCTTCACAGTAGGTATGGTGTTCTTTGGATGCAACAGCATTCTTTGTCCTCCAAACACGACGAGTTGAGTTTTTACCAAAAAGTTCTATTTTGGTTTCATCTGACCATATGACATTCTCCCAATCCTCTTCTGGATCATCCAAATGCACTCTAGCAAACTTCAGACGGGCCTGGACATGTACTGGCTTAAGCAGGGGGACACGTCTGGCACTGCAGGATTTGAGTCCCTGGCGGCGTAGTGTGTTACTGATGGTAGGCTTTGTTACTTTGGTCCCAGCTCTCTGCAGGTCATTCACTAGGTCCCCCCGTGTGGTTCTGGGATTTTTGCTCACCGTTCTTGTGATCATTTTGACCCCACGGGGTGAGATCTTGCGTGGAGCCCCAGATCGAGGGAGATTATCAGTGGTCTTGTATGTCTTCCATTTCCTAATAATTGCTCCCACAGTTGATTTCTTCAAACCAAGCTGCTTACCTATTGCAGATTCAGTCTTCCCAGCCTGGTGCAGGTCTACAATTTTGTTTCTGGTGTCCTTTGACAGCTCTTTGGTCTTGGCCATAGTGGAGTTTGGAGTGTGACTGTTTGAGGTTGTGGACAGGTGTCTTTTATACTGATAACAAGTTCAAACAGGTGCCATTAATACAGGTAACGAGTGGAGGACAGAGGAGCCTCTTAAATAAGAAGTTACAGGTCTGTGAGAGCCAGAAATCTTGCTTGTTTGTAGGTGACCAAATACTTATTTTCCACCATAATTTGCAAATAAATTCATTAAAAATCCTACAATGTGATTTTCTGGAAGAAAAAAATCTCAATTTGTCCATTCATATATATATATATACATACACTGAGATCATGTGTTACTTAAATAAAGTCCACCTGTGTGCAATCTAACTAATTATGTGACTTCTGAAGGTAATTGGTTGCACCAGATCTTATTTAGGGGCTTCATAGCAAAGGGGGTGAATACATATGCACGCACCACTTTTCCGCTATTTATTTTTTTGAATTCTTTGAAACAAGTTATTTTTTTAATTTCACTTCACCAATTTGGAATATTTTGTGTATGTCCATTACATGAAATCCAAATAAAAATATATTAAAATTACAGGTTGTAATGCAACAAAATAGGAAAAATGCCAAGGGGGATGAATAATTTTGCAAGGCACTGTAAATGTGCCCATTTGGAGATCTGACAGTATTTCTGATTGGCTTAATTCACCACCACTAATGAGCTGTGCAGCGTCTCAAAGTAATGTTTCCTTCACCTCAAACAGAAAGCAAACAGTCTGTTTCTACATCCATTGAGAATGAAAATAATTCCTCAACATTAGATTTTTTCCCCCAACCCTCTCCCTTTCGATAACCACTCAGCGTGAAAGGGAAAAATGTAATGCTTGAATCCAGTGGAAACACAATAAAATAGGCCTACCTGATTACTTCTTATCCCTTGCGCAAATAGCCTACAGATGTGTCTGTCCCGAGCTCACTGGTGCAGGAAACTGAGGGCCCAGAATATTTGATACAATGTTGCAAGGAGCTTCAGGCTGGACCCAAGTTAATAGTTGATACAATGTTTCAATTTCGTTGCAGACAGGCCATGTATAGCCAATGTGATTTATTGGATTTTTATCAGGATATTTTCTAATTACAATGTTTTTATTTGTTGGCTTTATAGGCTATTTTTACATTTGGCAATAGAAATTACTTTTTAGGTTCGTATCATTTTCATTTAGATAGAATTTTGATTAACCACATGACAATGATTTTGAGATACGAAGACGTTATTATAAATCAAATGAAACTGTTGCACAAAAACGTGCATATGAAAACCATAACTGGCACGCAGATCGTTGGAAATGGTAAGATAAATTGCCATTCCACATGAGAAAGTTTGCCGATTACTGGCAACTTCAGGAGAGTAACGGCAGAATTTGTGAAAGCCAGTAGAAGCGGGAGGAGGATGGTCGGGACAGGTTAAGGTTTTTTTTCTTCTGGTTATCTTGATCTCTGGCTCCCATGAGTCATTTGTGTCTTATTTCATCAAACAGTGAGCTTAAAGCATCAGACAAGCTTAATGCATACAGTATATACAGTAGCTGATTTTATTCAAACACAGGTTGTCTATATGGAAAAATACATGTTTTAAAATTTGGTCGAAAGAACAGATGACATTCGGTCGACAAATATCTATTTTTTTTGTCAGGGACAGCCCTAACTATGAGTATCTTCTTTATGTAGCTACGCACTATGGAATTCTGAATGTCTCAATTTGATTCATATTGATCATCATGTTGTACTCACAGCCTCTATTTTGTAGGGAAAGTTCAAGTTTGAGAACTCTGCATCCAGTTTCTTGGTATATTGGTCAGATGTTTTCACATAGCTCACTCCAAGGTTTTCAACAGTCTTCAACACTGGAATGACAAAACATGTTCAAAACACCATGCAACGTTAGCTATGTAAATAAAAGGTGACACTGTCAGACAAATGTATCCCGTTAGTGGTAACACTTTACTTGACACCCAGCTTCATAACACGTTATGACACAGTCATAACCATGTCATAATATGGTCATAACACTGTCATGACCCATATATTTACACCTGTTGTGACATACTGCATTATATTATGTCTACATAAGTGTCAAAACCCACATTTATTCAAATGTGTTTTTTCCCTGCCAAGAAAGTTTGTTTCTTAAGTCAGTTGTTGTTGTAATGAATTCTTTACTGTCATGTTTATTTTCTCATCATATTTTAAATAACTAGCAGAAAATACACATTATGACACTGTCCAGAAGCATTATGACCATCATATTCATATAAGCCAGATAGGCCTATCACGTACATGCCCTTATGTCAGTCAGTCAAAAAGAGGGTGTCTTCTCCTGCTTCTGAAATCTGCTCCTGCATTCATCAGCAACAGAGCATTGGGGTAGGTGCATGTCTGACATCAATTTGTGCACAGTTACAATCATATTTAATATGGTCAATTTCAGAAAATGTTATATAACAAACATACTGTTGACAAGTTGTGGTCTTCTGTAGCTCAATTGGTAGAGCATGGCGCTTGTAACGCCAGGGTAGTGGGTTCGATCCCCGGGACCACCCATACGTAAAAATGTATGCACGCATGACTGTAAGTCGCTTTAGATAAAAGTGTCTGCTAAACGGCATATATTATATTACAAGTTGGCTATGGTGTAATGGAATGTTTTGTCTTGTAAGTAGGTGTCATAACCAGCCATAAAATAATTACATGGTAGGTTTTTGTGGGTTTTGACAAACTTCTGTAGTTGTCATAACCAGCTATAATAAAAAATAATGTTTATATATATATATCAATAAATATATAACAGGTCTAAATATGTGTGATGACAGTGTTTTGACCATATTACGACAGGTTATGTCAGCTGTTATGACCGTGTCATAACGTGTTATGACGCTGGGTGTCAAGTAAAGTGTTACCCAGTTAGTTCATAACAGTACACGTGTAAACCAGCAGTAACTGAAGCTAGCTAGACAACTTACGTTTCAGCCTTTCCACAGCGAAGGTCTCAAACTCGGAGAGAGAAATATTTTCGATGGGGGGCTGACCATAGAACTGAAGACAATGTCCATACAGCTGCTCAGTCTGAGAGTTGCCAATCAACTTCTTTCTTCTGCTGAAGAACTGCATGGTTCCTGAAGATGAGGCAAGGCATCTCAAAGATTATGAGTTAACAAAATTACCTTCTTGGCCATTACTGTACTCTCTTTTGGTTAGAAGTATTAGCTAGTTAGTCAAAGAGAACGTCTCTGACAGTTGTCCAAAATAAAAACTATCACACACTGCCTTCATAACATTATTATGGCAAGCTAACGTTAGTTAGCGTTAGTTAACTACCGTGCAACTGGTAACTACGAACAGGTTTTAGGTTTAGATTTCACAAGTTAAACAATACGTAAGTGAATAGCTAAAACGTTCTACAATTCCAACAACTTACCGGTATCTCGCTTCGCTTATTTTATCAAGAGAGCTAGCTTTGCTTCTGTCTATTCTTGTCTTGATTCCCGCCAATTGCCACAGAGCGTTCTAATCTCAGCGCGGGAAAATGACGTAAATGCGAGTCTGTCAGACGTCATTTCCGTTTTTTACCACGTTGACAAAGATATTTATTATTAACCCAAGATAATTCATCTGTCTCGTTTAAAGTGGGAGCAAATTAAGCACAGTGGGCAGAACAAGCAAGTAGGTGGGGCAAAGCCAAGCACGAGCTAGCGAGATCCTATTGGCGCGTTGTAGTATATATTTCCATATTTCCGTTAGGGAACGCCTCCTCTGTGAAGTGCGCGTGTGCACAAACGTAATTCGACCTTGCACTCCTTATAAACAACGCCATTTTTTTTTTACTTTGGCAAAGCGTCAAGTCTATAAAACGTAGTTCACTGTGTTCATAACAGATTGTAGTTTTGGGAACAGACAAATGTATTGAGATAGATGTTTAATCGATGAGACAATTCGCAGAATGTTGGCCCAGTTTCATCCTCTACCACTACCCTCGACTTTCTAAACGGATGCTTCAGCTTTATATGTGTTACCCCTTCTGTCTGTGACGCCGACTCTGTCTCTCATGACATTCTTCCACCTCTAACCACAGATCTAGGATCAGAACACCCGTCCCGCAAACTCCGAGGTGGATGGAAAAATATAACTAGGAAAACTGACCATTGATCAGTGTATAGCGGGAGTAGCCACACAATCTGTGAAGTAATTTGTAATTTAATCACGACATAACCTGGCCACAAACAGACAAGATCAGCTAGGAGTATGGTATTTTACACGCGTTGTATTTCAGAAACTGACCCAGGGACAGAAGAGAGTTGCAGTGAACGGTGGATCTTCTAGCTACCGGAAACTAAAAGCGTTTATAGCAACCGGACTGCAGTTGTAGGTTGTCACTAGTAACCCAGCCACAAAGTAAAAATGCATGGAAACTAAAATTAGCTTTTTGGTCTTCATTTAAGGTTAGGGTTATGTATAAGGTTAGAAGTGTGGTTAAGGTTAGGGTTAGGTTTAAAATCAGATTTTAGGAAAATCAATTATAGAAAAAGGCGGGGTTTAGCCATTATGACTTTGTGGCTGTGGTAGCTTGCAGTTTGTGGGCGAGCCAAGCAAACAGCTAGCAAGGCAACCAAAATGTCTTGATTTTAAATCGTCGCTTTGTGAAATAGAATTAGACGACTTATTACATCGATGAAAAGCTTTGATATTCATTTCTTTTTTGTGTCAACGTCATGATAGTTTTCGCTAGTTATTGTTGAATGATTTATGACATTGGCAAACGTTAAAGTGCTAGTAGCAAGCCCAGCTAGGTGTTATTTGTAGCTACGCGGAGGAGACGCGCTACCTACCGTTAGCTGAACGTGGAGGCCGGACAATACATCGTTCTTTAGTTTAGCGAGATAGCGAGCTAGCTAGCTAAATTAGCGTTTCAAATTATTACAACGATTTACATTGTTACTACGGTACAGTTTTCATTATAACTTGTTATAATTATTTTGGGCCAGGGGAAAAAAACAGCCGTTATTTCTCTTTCATTGCGCAGCAATTCTATTTTGTAGTCCTGTTGCAGCAACTGAGGTATAATAAGAACGGTTGCAGCTGCAAGAGTCGCACAGTCATGTAACTGTAATGCCGGTAAGAAACAATTAGTTTATCACTCAAAATGATACAATTGTTGCCAGTCGTTGTCCCAGATATTGTTTCAGTGTTCCTCATGAGGGAGAATGTGTATCAATCTTTGGACAGCCACCGATCAGAAATAACATTAATACTAGCTAGCTATTAACGTTACTGTGAAATCATCAGCTTGCATGAATCTCACATCTTGTAAATTTATTTCGTGGATTTAAAAAACACTTTTTTTCAAACACTGTTCAGCAAGTCCTAAACCTTTGCAATATGCCCCATCCTCTCTCAGCTCACTGCATGCAGAATTCCCTGGTGATGATGTCTAGCTACAGTTTCTACGCCAGATATGTGATAACTATGTTTGCTTTACTGGGCGTTACAGGTACAAAACATGTATTTAATATCTTTCTCAGTTTTTTTTTTTTTTTTTTGTAGAACCACCTGTAACTGGACACGGACATTTATAAGATACCTTTTTCCCAGAAGTTGAGAACAAAGACCTTATCGCCAAGAGCAGGTTAGTTGAAAAATCTATGGCAGCGTTTTGTATAATCAAACCTGTAACGCCCAGTAATGGAAACATAGTTATCACATATCTGGCGTACAAACTGTAGCTAGATGTTGTTTAGTGGTGTCATTCTAAAGTGAACCTCATCAGCAGCTGCTGTTGATGTTCTGCAATTTGTCAATTAACTGTCTTCCAATTTACCAATTTAAAGTAGGCCATTGTGACCACCTTAATGGAGTGTTTACGCAAGCACTGTGGATGAATGCCTAGTTACCAGTTTGTCAGGCTAATAACTATGCAGTCTACAGGTAGGCCTAGACATACCAGCATGTTCCTCTAAGACAAATGTCTTATTTTATGCTAAATCTAGCCAGTCAGAGCATATTTGAAGAGTCAATGTAAGGGAATATGTTTTTATACAGTGAAACATCCCGTTCTGGCAAGGTTTGCTGCATCTGCTGAATTTGAGCAGAATTCCTTTAAGTGCATGTCACTTCAACAGAGTTTGCAAAATCGAAGCTGATGTGTCCTTGCATGCAACTAAGTTACAGCCAGCGCTGTATTCAGTTACCTTTGGTGAGACGTTGCGGGAGAGGCTCTACTTTGTAACTCAATCTGTGGGCATTCCAGTCGCCTAGTAGCCTCATCTACCTAGAATATTCCATGTTTGTCTGTATAAGCTTTGCTTGTTGTGTTCAATTTAGGTTACACAAGGACATGGCTTGGTTAATAGGTATCAAGGTAGTGGTTTCATTGTGGTTGAGACACCAGCCCGTTTACAGTGGGGTTTGGATTTCGGATCATCCACTTTATGAATCGGACTAGCTAAGGATAACAAACAGCTCTGAAAGTTTAAATTCAGGAAAAAGGCCCACCTTGGCTTTGTGTGCCGTGGAACCCTAGACAGATCAACAACACATTCCTTGCATAGTCTGAGGTTAAGTCAAACCCAGTGAACACAATGTTTTGTTTGGACTTAAGGTCACTGATAACGATAGGCCCATAGCACTAGCCTCTAGTATTATTTTACTACAAAGCTAATACTTTGTTTAGGCCAACATGTTGTGATATTGTCGATCACATTACCAGGCAAAGGGTTTGGGCTGTCATGGGTGGAGTCGTGGGGATGTTTGCCTGTTCATATCCAGGAGATCTGGGATTTAGCTAAATTGTCAGTTCCCTCAACACTTTAATCCCTGCCACGTCAGCTACACCCTCTCCTAGCCAGGCCCAGGCAGCCAGCCAGGCCCAGGCAGCTACCTAATGGAAAAGTGTGTGGGAGCAGAAAGACGGAGGCAGTGACTGAGCTAAGTGAAGCTGACTAGCATGTAAGGACGAGGAACCCATCAGCTGACGTTACCTCAGAGGGCTGCAGCCTGAAAATGTATGCACGCACTACTGTAAGTCGCTCTGGATAAGAGCGTCTGCTAAAAGACTAAAATGTAAAATTGATGCACTGGCTAATATTTACACTCAGCTGTAAAACAGCAGACCGGCGGGCCAGCAAGTGATGGTTTTGTGGGAAGACTGAGGAGCAGTGAGGTAGAAAGTGTTCTCATCTAAACAAAGTACATCATATTGCTGAACAAACAGAAGGATGTTTTTATGTGGGCTAGGCTCGTCAGTCAGCGAGAATATAACTTGGATGTTCGAGCTGCAGAACGACGCAGGTTTGTGCAGAGAAAACAACAATAAGACCTTAAGTCAGGTTTATCAATATGTAAAACGTAAGTTTGTATCGTTGTTTCTCTTTCAGGAGGTGTCTAACTGATCCAGTGCCAGCCCCCCTGAAGCAACACCAGACTGCCTGGAAGTGTTAGGAAAGCCCAGCAACATACAGCCATGTTAGAGGAGGACATGGAAGTGGCCATCAAGGTGGTGGTAGTGGGCAATGGTGCGGTGGGGAAGTCCAGCATGATCCAGCGCTACTGCAAGGGCATCTTCACCAAGGACTACAAGAAGACCATTGGTGTGGACTTCCTGGAGAGGCAGATACTGTAAGGAGATTTTCTATTGGCAGTGTGTCATACATAGCCTATGTAAATACACTGAATATACAAAACATTAAGAACACCTGCTCTTTCCTTGACAGACTGACAAGGTGAATCCAAGTGAAAGTTATGATCCCTTATTGTTGTCACATGTTAAATCCACTTCAATCAATGTAGATGAAGGGGAGGAGGCAGGTTAAATAAGGATCTTTAGACCTTAAGACAATTGAGACATGGATTGTGTATGTGTGCCATTCAGAGGGTGAATGGGCAAGACAAAACATTTAAGTGCCTTTGAACAGGGTAGGTGCCAGGCGCACCGGTTTGTGTCAAGAACTGCAACACTGCTGGGTTTTTCACACCAATTTTCCGTGTATATCAAGAATGGTCCACCACCCAAAGGACATCCAGCCAACTTGACACAACTGTGGGAAGCATTGGAGTCAACAATGGCCAGTATCCCTATGACACGCTTTCAACACCTTGTAGAGTCCGTGCCACAACGAATTGAGGCTGTTCTGATGGCAAAAGGGGGGGTGCAACTCAATAAAGGAAAGTGTTCCTAATGTTTGGTATGCTCAGTGTATACATACGGTACAATATGGCAAGGTTATATTACAATCGCAGCCATGCCTAGAGACCTAGGGGAGCATATTGAAGCTGAAAGGGACCACTGAAGATGCATCAAAATACAAAGTACAACTCTTACATGTATGCATACATACAGTACACTCCGACAAGGAGGTATATTACAATAGCAGCCATACCCAGAGATCTAGGGGACCGTACTGAGTCCTAAGTCAGTGGTTTTCAAACCTCTCCTCGCGACCCCCAGACGTTTCACAATTTGGTTGTAGCCCTGAACTAACTCACTTGATTCACTTAGTCAAGGGCTTGATGATAAGTTGGCAAGTTGAATCGGCTGTGCTAGCTCTGGAATAGGCCTAGATCAAATACATGGAACGACTGGGGGTCCCCAGGAGAGGTTTGAGAACCTCTGTCCTAAGTGATCACTGAAATCAAAATACACGCATTCTGGCTGCACAGACCATCTCTTAAAATGTTATTTTATAAGAGATCCCTGTCATCCATGTCTAACTGAAACTGTTTTAGGTAACTGTGTTTTGGCTCGAGAAAGACCTTAAGGTTTTGGCCTAACGCAAAAAAAATGTGCTTCCGCCTCCCGAGTGGCGCACGGTCTTAAGGCACTGCATCACAGTGCTTGAGGCGTCACTACAGACCCGGGTTAGATCCTGGGCTGTGTCTCAGCCGGCCGCGACCGGGAGAGGCGGTGCACAATTGGCCCAGCGTCGTCCGGGTTAGGGGAGGGTTTGGCTGGCCGGGATGTCCTTGTCCCATCGCGCTCTAGCAACTCCTGTGGCGGGCCGGGCAAATGCACGCTGGCACGGTCGCCAGTTGTACTGTGTTTCCTCCGACACATTGGTGCTGCTGGCTTCCGGGTTAAGCGAGCAGTGTGTCAAGAAGCAGTGCGGCTTGGCAGGGTCGTGTTTCGGAGGATGCATGGCTCTCGACCTTTGCCTCTCCCGTGTCCGTACGGGAGTTGCAGCGATGGGACAAGACTGTAACTACCAATTTGGATTTCACGAAAAGGGGGTAAAAAATTAATATATAAATTGCTTCCCAAAGCCACTAATTTTCCTTATCGTTCCAGTAAGTATTTTTCCTTATTTTTATGCTTAACAGATGTGAAGCAAACCCATAACTTGCATGTAAAGTGTCAAGCGGTATTTCATTCAGCTGTTTATGAATAAGGCATGATAATGGCTTTGGTCACAGATAATGGACATGCAGTGCCCAGATGTATAAGGAGGCATAGTTATTCTCAGGAAATGCCAGAGAGAACCCTGAAAACATTGTAACTCTAACTGCATTGAATAATACAGGCAGAATAGCCAGATGAAGGTCCGCTCACTGAAGGCTTAAAGTATTGTTTTTTTATACGGCAATAAAGGTGTGGAGGACATTTGACAGTCAGTACACTATCCCTCTTCTAGTGCAGAACTGTTAAATGAATAGTTTCAGGTATAGAAATGTATACACACAATACAAAGTATTTAAACTCCCTTTTCTGTTCCTTTCCCAGAGTGAATGATGAAGACGTGAGATTGATGTTGTGGGACACCGCAGGGCAGGAAGAGTTTGACGCCATCACCAAGGCCTACTACCGCGGTAAGACTCCTCACTTCCAGGGAAGGACATGATACTCCTCCACTGGGTCTGTCAGACAACCTCTCATGTTTCAGGTCATTTTTCAGAATGGATTTAGCTGTCGAACTGCACCAAGATGACCTCACAGGGAACGATCCAACTAACATTATGTCCATATTTTATTTCTGTTAAAACAAAACACAAGAAATACAAACTGGTGTGTATGGAAATTGAACAATATAAATAATACATAAAAAAATAAAAGAATACTAATCAGTTATTTGATTCGAAAGCTTCTTCTTATGTACCACAACATACAGTGGGGAGAACAAGTATTTGATACACTGCCGATTTTGCAGGTTTTCCTACTTACAAAGCATGTAGAGGTCTGTAATTTTTATCATAGGTACACTTCAACTGTGAGAGACTGAATCTAAAACAAAATTCCAGAAAATCACATTGTATGATTTTTAAGTAATTAATTTGCATTTTATTGCATGACATAAGTATTTGATACATCAGAAAAGCAGAACTTAATATTTGGTACAGAAACCTTTGTTTGCAATTACAGAGATCATACGTTTCCTGTAGGTCTTGACCAGGTTTGCACACACAGCAGCAGGGATTTTGGCCCACTCCTCCATACAGACCCTTCAGGTTTCGGGGCTGTCGCTGGGCAATACGGACTTTCAGCTCCCTCCAAAGATGTTCTATTGGGTTCAGGTCTGGAGACTGGCTAGGCCACTCCAGGACCTTGAGATGCTTCTTACGGAGCCACTCCTTAGTTGCCCTGGCTGTGTGTTTCGGGTCGTTGTCATGCTGGAAGACCCAGCCACGACCCATCTTCAATGCTCTTACTGAGGGAAGGAGGTTGTTGGCCAAGATCTCGCGATACATGGCCCCATCCATCCTCCCCTCAATACGGTGCAGTCGTCCTGTCCCCTTTGCAGAAAAGCATCCCCAAAGAATGATGTTTCCACCTCCATGCTTCACGGTTGGGATGGTGTTCTTGGGGTTGTACTCATCCTTCTTCTTCCTCCAAACACGGCGAGTGTAGTTTAGACCAAAAAGCTCTATTTTTGTCTCATCAGACCACATGACCTTCTCCCATTCCTCCTCTGGATCATCCAGATGGTCATTGGCAAACTTCAGACGGGCCTGGACATGCGCTGGCTTGAGCAGGGAGACCTTGCGTGCGCTGCAGGATTTTAATCCATGACGGCGTAGTGTGTTACTAATGGTTTTCTTTGAGACAGTGGTCCCAGCTCTCTTCAGGTCATTGACTAGGTCCTGCCGTGTAGTTCTGGGCTGATCCCTCACCTTCCTCATAATCATTGATGCCCCACGAGGTGAGATCTTGCATGGAGCCCCAGACCGAGGGTGATTGACCGTCATCTTGAACTTCTTCCATTTTCTAATAATTGCGCAAACAGTTGTTGCCTTCTCACCAAGCTGCTTGCCTATTGTCCTGTAGCCCATCCCAGCCTTGTGCAGGTCTACAATTTTATCCCTGATGTCCTTACACAGCTCTCTGGTCTTGGCCATTGTGGAGAGGTTGGAGTCTGTTTGATTGAGTGTGTGGACAGGTGTCTTTTATACAGGTAACGAGTTCAAACAGGTGCAGTTAATACAGGTAATGAGTGGAGAACAGGAGGGCTTCTTAAAGAAAAACTGACAGGTCTGTGAGAGCCGGAATTCTTACTGGTTGGTAGATAATCAAATACTTATGTCATGCAATAAAATGCAAATTAATTACTTAAAAATCATACAATGTGATTTTCTGTTTTTTTTGTTTTAGATTCTGTCTCTCACAGTTGAAGTGTACCTATGATAAAAATTACAGACTTCTACATGCTTTGTAAGTAGGAAAACCTGCAAAATCGGCAGTGTATCAAATACTTGTTCTCCCCACTGTAACTGTGTGAAGATCCAGCATTTCTTAGCATTGTGGTGACAGCTGCTCTTTGTATGTGTTTCAGGTGCCCAGGCGTGTGTACTGGTCTTCTCCACCACCGACAGGGAGTCGTTCGAGGCGATCAGCAGCTGGTGGGAGAAGGTGGAGATAGAGGTGGGAGACATCCCCACTGTCCTGGTGCAGAACAAGATAGACCTTCTGGATGACACGATGATCAAAAAGTAACACTTCCTGTGACCCATTTCCCTTCTTGAACTTGGCCTGTTGTATAAGATGCATGGCTTGTAGAACGTACGTCTTCATTAGATATTCTGATATTTCAAGCATGGCAGAATTTATCAGTAATTTTTTTTACATTTTACATTTTAGTCATTTAGCAGACGCTCTTATCCAGAGCGACTTACAGTTAATCATGATCTTTTTCTCCTGGTACTATAGCGAGGAGGCAGAAGGTCTGGCCAAGAAGCTCAAGTTGAGGTTTTACCGAACCTCCGTAAAGGAGGACCTCAATGTCAATGAGGGTGAGATGCAGAAAATGTGTACAACTGACCAGTTAAAATAACTTATGTTAGGAAGGATGCAATGGGAATCACCCCAAATTTAAATTTCTACCATTTCTTCTTTTCAGTTTTCAAATACCTAGCAGATAAGTATCTGCAGCGACTCAAGCGGCAAACAGCAGAGGAACCTGAGGCAGTGCATACAGCAGGCAATAAAATTGGTAAGCATCCTGATAACCACGCCAGGTAGTCCAAACCTCTGGGACTGATTTGTACAATGCCACAGAGGGATTTGTCTAGTACTGCTAGTTCTGCAATGACAGTTAGCATTTTGGATCTGTTTTTTCCACCAACAACATTAAACCCTTACACTCTTGGAAATTGTACATGAACATGCCCACATTGAAATGCTTCTTACCAAGAAAATAATAAAATATGAGACACATTATGCATAACATTTACATTTTATCTTTACTATACATTTCTCATTTGTCAATTACATTCAGTAACATGAAAACATTCATGTAAAATGTAGAGTTCATACAACATAAGACCAAAAAAGGGTATTGAGTAAGAAGTCTGTCTCCGGGCTCTCTTTTAACAAAATGTACAGTGCCTTCGGAAAGTATTCAGACCCCTTGACTTGTTCCACATTTTGTTACGTTACAGCCTTATTCTAAAATGGATTAAATAAAACATTTTCCTCAGCAATCTACACACAATACCCCATAATGACAAAGTGAAAACAGGTTTTTAGAATTTATTTGCAAATGTATTAAAAACAGATACCTTATTTACATAAGTATTCAGACTATTTGCTATGAGACTCGAAATTGAGCTCAGGTGCATCCTGTTTCCATTGATCATCCTTGAGATGTTTCTACAACTTGATTGGAGTCCACCTGTGGTAAATTCAATTGATTGGACATGATTTGGAAAGGCACACACCTGTCTATGTAACGTCCCACAGTTGACAGTGCATGTCAGAGCAAAAACCAAGCCATGCGGTTGAAGGAATTGTCCGTAGAGCTCCGAGACAGGATTGTGTCGAGTCACAGGTCTGGAGAAGGGTACCAAAAAATGTCTGCAGCATTGAAGGTCCTCAAGAACACAGTGGCCTCCATCATTCTTAAATGGAATAAGTTTGGAACCACCAAGACTCTTCCTAGAGCTGGCCGCCCTGCCAAACTGAGCAATCAAGGAAGAAGGGCCTTGGTCAGGGAGGTGAACAAGAACCCGATGGTCACTCTGACAGTGCTCTAGAGTTCCTCTGTGGAGATGGGAGAACCTTCCAGAAGGGCAACCATCTCTGCAGCACTCCACCAATCAGGCCTTTATGGTAGAGTGGCCAGATGGAAGCGAATCCTCAGTAAAAGCCACATGACAGCCCAAAAGACTCTGACCATGATAAACAAGATTCTCTGGTCTGATGAAACCAAGATTGAACTCTTTGGCCTGAATGCTAGGTGTCAGGTCTGGAGGAAACCTGACTCCATCCCTACAGTGAAGCATGGTGGTGGCAGCATCATGCTGTGGGGATGTTTTTCAGCGGCAGGGACTGGGAGACTAGACAGGATTGAGGGAAAGATGAAAGGAGCAAAGTACAGAGCGATCCTTGATGAAAACCTGCTCAGGACCTCAGACTGGGGCGACGGTTCACCTTCCAACAGGACAACGACCCTAAGCACACAGCCAAGACAACGCAGGAGTGGCTTCGGGACAAGTCTCTGAATGTCCTTGAGTGGCCCATCCAGAGTCCGGACTTGAACCCGATCGAACATCTCTGGAGAGACCTGAAAATAGCTGTGCAGCAATGCTCCCCATCCAACCTGACAGAGCTTGAGAGGATCTGCAAAGAAGAATGGGAGAAACTCCCCAAATCCGCTATGCAATCCGGTTTCCGAGCTGGTCATGGGTGCACTTCAGCCACGCTCAAGGTCCTAAACGATATTATAACCGCGATCGATAATAGACAGTACTGTGCAGCCGTTTTCATTGACCTGGCCAAGGCTTTCGACTCTGTCAACCACCGCATTCTTATTGGCAGACTAAATAGCCTTGGTTTCTCAAATGACTGCCTCGCCTGGTTCACCAACTACTTCTCTGATAGAGTTCAATGTGTCAAATCGGAGGGCCTGTTGTCTGGACCTATGGCAGTCTCTATGGGGGTGCCACAGGGTTCAATTATTGGGCCGACTCTTTTCTCTGTGTATATCAATGACGTCGCTCTTGCTGCTGGTGACTCTCAGATCCACCTCTACGCAGACGACACCATTTTGTATACATCTGGCCCTTCATTGGACACTGTGTTAACAAACCTCCAAACGAGCTTCAATGCCATACAACACTCCTTCAGTAGCCTCCAACTGCTCTTAAACACTAGTAAAACTAAATGCATGCTCTTCAACCGAACGCTGCTTGCACCCGCCCACCCGACTAGAATCACTACTCTCGACGGGTCTGACCTAGAGTATGTGGACAACTACAAATACCTAGGTGTCTGGTTAGACTGTAAACTCTCCTTCCAGACTCACATTAAGAATCTCCAATCCAAAGTTAAATCTAGAATCGGTTTCCTATTTCGCAACAAAGCCTCCTTCACTCATGCTGCCAAACATGCCCTCGTAAAACTGACTATCCTACCGATCCTTGACTTCGGTGATGTCATTTACAAAATAGCCTCCAACACTCTACTCAGCAAATTGGATGTAGTCTATCACAGTGCCATCCGTTTTGTCTCCAAAGCCCCATATACTACCCACCACTGTGACCTGTACGCTCTTGTTGGCTGGTCCTCACTACATATTCGTCGCCAAACCCACTGGCTCCAGGCCATCTATAAATCACTGCTAGGCAAATCCCCGCCTTATCTTAGCTCATTGGTCACCATAGCAACACCCACCCGTAGTATGCGCTCCAGCAGGTATATCTCACTGGTCATCCCCAAAGCCAACACCTCCTTTGGCCGCCATTCCTTCCAGTTCTCTGCTGCCAATGACTGGAACAAATTGCAAAAATCTCTGAAGCTGGAGACACTTATCTCCCTCACTAACTTTAAGCATCAGTTGTCAGAGCACCTTACCGATCACTGCACCTGTACACAGCCCATCTGAAATTAGCCCGCCCAACTACCTCATCCCTATATTGTTATTTATTTTGCTCATTTGTACCCCAGTATCTCTATTTGCACATCATCTCTTGCACATCTATCATTCCAGTGTTAATACTAATTGTAATTATTTTGCACTATAGCCTATTTATTGCCTTACCTCCATAACTTGCTACATTTGCACACACTGTATATATACTTATTTCTGTTGTATTTTTGACTTTGTTTTGTTTTACCCCATATGTAACTCTTGTTGTTTTTATCGCACTGCTTTGCTTTATCTTGGCCAGGTCGCAGTTGTAAATGAGAACTTGTTCTCAACTGGCTTACCTGGTTAAATGAAGGTTAAATAAAAATTTTTAAAAATACAGGTGTGCCAAGGTTGTAGCGTCATACCCAAGAATAAGGCTGTAACGTAACAAAATGTGGAAAAAGTCAAGGAGTCTGAATACTTTCCGAATGCACTGTACCTAATGGTAAATCTTAGCACAGCCACATGGTGCTTTCTAGTTGTGGGTTCGAGTTGTGGGTATTTTCACAGCGGGAATCGTGCGCAATAGCTGGCGGTGGCGCAAAAGGGCTGGGTTTTGATTAATAAATAAGTTGTAGGTGTGGCGAGGGCTTGACCACTCACTTGGGCAATGAACGTTGTCCATGGCTTAATACTGCATGCGGTTGTGTAGGCTATTGACGGTATTTGCGTAATCATCAACTCCAATTCGGCTGGAGGGCACAGAATATTCTCACAGTAGAATGCATCCAGTTTTGCTAAATATGTTTGGCGTTTTTGCAGTCCACATCGTTCTAGTTGGCTTTAACATGTAGGCCTAAATGTCTTTTACGCATTACATTCGCACTTGTCCTGAAAAAATTATATTAGGCTCCTATAAATTGTATTGTATGTGCGAGGCACATTCTCAATAAGCAAGATACAGTGGGGGGAAAAAGTATTTAGTCAGCCACCAATTGTGCAAGTTCTCCCACTTAAAAAGATGAGAGGCCTGTAATTTTCATCATAGGTACACGTCAACTATGACAGACAAATTGAGGAAAAAAATTCCAGAAAATCACATTTTTTATGAATTTATTTGCAAATTATGGTGGAATATAAGTATTTGGTCACCTACAAACAAGCAAGATTTCTGGCTCTCACAGAACTGTAACTTCTTCTTTAAGAGGCTCCTCTGTCCTCCACTCGTTACCTGTATTAATGGCACCTGTTTAAACGTGTTATCAGTATAAAAGACACCTGTCCACAACCTCAAACAGTCACACTCCAAACTCCACTATGGCCAAGACCAAAGAGCTGTCAAAGGACACCAGAAACAAAATTGTAGACCTGCACCAGGCTGGGAAGACTCAATCTGCAATAGGTAAGCAGCTTGGTTTGAAGAAATCAACTGTGGGAGCAATTATTAGGAAATGGAAGACATACAAGACCACTGATAATCTCCCTCGATCTGGGGCTCCACGCAAGATCTCACCCCGTGGGGTCAGAATGATCACAAGAACGGTGAGCAAAAATCCCAGAACCACACGGGGGGACCTAGTGAATGACCTGCAGAGAGCTGGGACCAAAGTAACAAAGCCTACCATCAGTAACACACTACGCCGCCAGGGACTCAAATCCTGCAGTGCCAGATGTGTCCCCCTGCTTAAGCCAGTACATGTCCAGGCCCGTCTGAAGTTTGCTAGAGTGCATTTGGATGATCCAGAAGAGGATTGGGAGAATGTCATATGGTCAGATGAAACCAAAATAGAACTTTTTGGTAAAAACTCAACTCGTCGTGTTTGGAGGACAAAGAATGCTGAGTTGCATCCAAAGAACACCATACCTACTGTGAAGCAAGGGGGTGGAAACATCATGCTTTGGGGCTGTTTTTCTGCAAAGGGACCAGGACGACTGATCCGTGTAAAGGAAAGAATGAATGGGGCCATGTATCGTGAGATTTTGAGTGAAAACCTCCTTCCATCAGTAAGAGCATTGAAGATGGGTCGTGGCTGGGTCTTCCAGCATGACAACGACCCGAAACACACAGCCAGGGCAACTAAGGAGTGGCTCCGTAAGAAGCATCTCAAGGTCCTGGAGTGGCCTAGCCAGTCTCCAGACCTGAACCCAATAGAAAATCTTTGGAGGGAGCTGAAAGTCCGTATTGCCCAGCGACAGCCCCGAAACCTGAAGGATCTGGAGAAGGTCTGTATGGAGGAGTGGGCCAAAATCCCTGCTGCAGTGTGTGCAAACCTGGTCAAGACCTACAGGAAACGTATGATCTCTGTAATTGCAAACAAAGGTTTCTGTACCAAATATTAAGTTCTGTTTTTCTGATGTATCAAATACTTATGTCATGCAATAAAATGCAAATTAATTACTTAAAAATCATACAATGTGATTTTCTGGATTTTTGTTTTAGATTCCGTCTCTCACAGTTGAAGTGTACCTATGATAAAAATTACAGACCTCTACATGCTTTGTAAGTAGGAAAACCTGCAAAATCGGCAGTGTATCAAATACTTGTTCTCCCCACTGTATATGCGAGAGAAAAAATCATGGGGGATTGGAAGTGATGCAGACAATTACGTTGATGGAAGTTACAATCTATCTGAAATATTAAAGCTGATCTACCCCCTAAAACATTTTTTTTTAAATAACTTTCATACTGTAAATTGCATGAGTTTTGTTGTATAAGGATGTGAACTACAGATTTGGACTAATGAATGACATCACAGCGGTATTTATTATAATTCTCAACTTATCTTTCAGAACACGCGCATAGACATACAAGGGCTATTTCATATACGTGCTCTTAGGATATTCTTAGTAGCTTTTGCGTGTCAGAAATGAGTATTTTTTAAAAGTTTTATCACTTAATTAACACATCTCTACCCTAACAGGCGTTTTCAACACCACAAGTAGTAACCTATCTAGTCAGAACTCCAGCAATGGCTGCGAAGTCATCAGCTTGCGGCCTAACAAACAGAGGACCAAGAAGAGCAAAAACCTCTTCGGTAGCTGCAGTCTTCTTTAGAATCAATCCATTCCCTGCAATATTGTAAGTTTTGACTGCCATATGTGAGGGAAAGAGTCTCAATTGATGAATGGTTGTGTATTATAGGGGTACATTCTTTCACAGACCAAAGTCTGCATAGGATATGGTATGTTATATCAGTTTGAGCTCAACCTAGATCTAATCTGCACCTGCACATTTTGCCTATCATGACTTTGAGCATCTTTACAGATCCAGTCCAGCCTTTGATTCTCATAGATAGATATGAGATATAAAGCACCAGAATGGCGACAGTAACAATAGTCCTCCTGGTGGCTGCAATGGATACGAAAACCTAACACAGACGCTATGTTGTAGCATGAATGGAATGCTTGAAGCATATCTTTTGGGAAATTGTAGTTGGGCATTGCAGGGTTTTCCCATTTACACCCTTCAACATGTTGTAGGGAAGGGTTCCATTCTAGTTCACTAACAAGACATATTTGTATGTTCATATGTGACTTTTGCAGCTTACCATTTGTGCATTTGACTGTTCATCTGTGCAATATGTTTGTATTGTAAGAGATATACAGATTATTTGGTACCATCTTTTTCTAAAATATTAATGGAATATGGTTGAATATATGCTGTATATCATGGATAAAGACTTGGACATAATTGTTTATTGTTTTCTGAAAGGTATTTTTATATGAATTTTAAGTGTTTAACCAATGTTGGCAGACAATGCGTTGCCTAAAACCTAACATAGTGCCAAATAGTTTCTAAACATTTTATTGTTGTAAGAAATGTACATATTTTAAAGTGGAAGGTAGGCGTGATTGGTAGTTGTATGAGAATATTGAATTACAACAAAGACTAATAGAATGTGCTCTTATATTACCAAAACAATTTGAAATTCACACAATAGGCCCTCTACTTCAGTCACAAAATTATCAAATGTACTAATCTTATAGAATGGATGAGCCAGTGAAGAGGGTTTTGTTACACAGAACATACCAATCAATATATCCCTCTTTATCTGGTTAGCACACACAGGTGTTTCATGTGATACTAGAAATCACAATTGTTTACATGTTACATATTGCTGCATTTAAATCATATCTGTGCTATATTTGTTTCTACTGTGGTACAATTGTAACATCTTTAATGTGCTCATATTTGTGAGTCTAAGATGTATATTTGTTACATTTATACTGAACAAAAATATAAATGCAACATGCAATAATTTCAATGATTCTGAGTTACAGTTCATATAAGAAAATCAGTCAATTGAAATAAAGTAATTAGGCCCTAATCTATGGATGTCACATGACTGGGCAGGGATGCAGCCATGGGTGGGCACAGGACCACCCACTGGGGAGCCAGGCCCAGCCAATCAGAATTCGTTTTTCCCCACCACATGTCTTTATTACAGACAGAAATACTCCTCAGTTTCATCAGCTGTCCGGGTGGCTGGTCTCAGACAATCCCCCAGGTGAAGAAGCTGGATGTGGAGTTCCTGGGCGGGCGTGGTTACACATGGTCTGCGATTGTGAGGCCAGTTGGACGTACTGCTAAATTCTCTAAAGTGACATTGGAGGCGGCTTATGGTAGAGAAATGAACATTAAATTATCTGGCAACAGCTCTCGTGGACATTCCTGCAGTCAGCATGCCCATTGCACGCTCCCTCAAAACTTAAGACATCTGTGGCATTGTGTTGTGATAAAACTGCACATTTTAGTGGCCTTTTATTGTCCTCAGCACAAGGTGCACCTGTGTAATGATCATGTTGTTTAATGAGCTTCTTGATATGCCACACCAGTCAGGTGCATGGATTATCTTGGTAAAGGAGAAATGTTCACTAACAGGGATGTAAACAAATTTGTGCGCACAATTTGAAAGAAATAAGCTTTTTGTGCATATGGAACATTTCCAGGATGTTTTATTTCAGCTTATGAAACATGGGACCAACACTTTACATGTTGTGTTTATATTTTTGTTCAGTATACAGTACCAGTCAAAAGTTTGGACACACTTTTGTAGGTTTGTCCAAACTTTTGACTGGGACTGTGTATTTGTTAGTTTCAGGAGAAATTAACACTACATTATTGTTTACTAAAGAAATGTCACATTTTATGTGTGAGTGAAAACAGATCTCATAATTAATGGTCTCTTGTTTGAATGTTCTTAACATTATGAACAGAACTACAGGATAGCTTTGTAATGGCTTAGTTTTCTCGCCTAGTCATCATGCTTGGATAGTGTTCTGTACTGTTTCCACTCTGACCGCTATGTTGCCTTTTGAGGCAAGACTAGTATTCCTGTTCTAATTTCACTCTAGGACAGAAAGGAAAGTCTCATTATTCTTTATACTGTGCTCGTCATTATAACTTCCAGTTACCCGTTAATACTATTCACAAATCAAAATGGCACCATGGTTATAAGTACATTCTACTGTATATTGAAAAGGTACTCTAATATTTAGCCTGTGTTTTGGTATCAGTAAATGTTGTATGAAAATTTGCATGCTTGCCTTGTTTGGTTTTTCCAAGTGAATGAATATGGAACCACAGTTAATGCCACAAAGCCTTGTCCATGTATGTTTACATTCTCATTCATTGTGTATCTTAAACATAGTTTTATTTAACTAGTTTGTTTTAAAGACGCCTGCTCAGTAAATATTGTAAATCACACACCATCCCTTAACAGTTGCTGTTTGTAAAAAATTTAACATTTTCCATTTTGTTAAAATGGACTAAAGGCACTTTAACAATGATATGTTTAATACTTTTTTGTCTCCTGAAAATACACAATGTTTATATTGACCATTTAATTCATTAATAATTCAATCAGTTACCATTTCTTATAAAATAATATACGGTCAAGTGCTCTTTCACTCAGGTGTTGTGAGAATCACTGTAATCCATTCTGATGTTATGTTATTACAGATGGCTTACTGATTTATTACATACTGCTTCCATCAACTTTGTTTGTACCTAGATAACCTAGCCTGAGTGGCAGTCTGTTTCTGCTGTCTTTCCAACTCTTATGGAATTGTCATGCCAAACATTGGTCAGCTTGGAGTAGGCAAGAGCACTATATCCCTGGGACCAGGCAAAATACTTTTAAACTAAATGTTACATTTTGTCAGAATTGTGTGACACAAAGTAGTTGGTACAGTGTATATCTCACCTAGTTTGTTAATTTGTATTACTTTGATTTAACAGTGTCTCAAGGTGTGCCACACATGCAGTACTTGCACCTGCGGCTTTGTTGACAATCTGTTTGATGGTGATCTAGCAGAAATAAAGCCTCTATTTTCATTGTTTTCTTCAACAGTTTCTGTAATTTCCACTTTACACACGGCTGATTGTAAATCTTGACGTACACAGTTTTATTGTACACAATTTACATTTGAAATGATGCATTTAAAAAAACTAATGTAAGAACGTATTGGCTATACTTATAATAATTGTTTAATTTACCCTCCTTTTCAATTGTGTGTGGTTTATTAGAATTACAGGTATAAACATTGGAATGAGACCATCCCTCCAAAATTGTAGAATAACAATGCCTTTCAGCAAGTGGAATACCTCAATCATATTTATTAAATCTAAAATGACTGCCTAGTATTCCGTACGTGCATGTGCTGTGCATTTTGCTCCCTTTGCACCTGCATGTGAAATGCCTATTCATGATGTATTGACATAGTACATTGTCTCTAATGATGTCTGTGGCCATTTGTCACAGCAAAGAGCTCTCACAGATACTGTTACTTTAGCTATTTCTGGAGTGGTTGTTCACAATTCCATACGTACTGTACCAAACACATCCCTACATAAAGATATTAAGATATTAACCTTTTGTTTTGAGTTAGGTTGTGACCTATAATCCAAGTTTACTGTAATGACCTGAGAGTAGCAAAACATTTCTGTCAATAGATACCATGTCAATGATTAACACTTAAGATGTAAATTATCATATTAAGATGATTAAACAAAAACAATTTAGATGCATTTTGAAATGCCTAAATGAGTGACAGCCTGTGTGCTTTTTGACTATTCAGGAAGTGGGTTAATTCGAAGTTGTACAAACCAGGTCCATAATAAAATTTGTATTTAACCTCTGTTTTTGTTAGAAACCGTTTTGGCCAAGTTGGTTAGGACCTGAGTTTGAGCAACAAAAGTAATTTCAACCAATTGTTATAACATTAATTATCATCTATAATGATTAAACAAATCATTTGATCATTTGAAATGCCTAAAGTGACGTGTGCTTTTGAACATTAAGCCGGAAGTTGATGTCTGGCTAGTCGGATTAATACATTTTGGAGTCAATTGTAGTTCAACCACTGCATATTTCTTCAAACTATCATTGGCTTGTGTTGGACATCTAGGAAAGAACCCAAGCCTCCACAAGTTGGTTTCATTCTTGGGAGCAATTTCCAAACACCTGAAGGTACCGCGTTCATCTGTACAAACAATAGTACGCAAGTATAAACACCATGGGACCACGCAGCCAGCATACCGCTCAGGAAGGAGACGCGTTCTGGTGCGAAAAGTGCAAATTAATCCCAGAACAACAGCAAAGGACCTTGTGAAGATGTTGGAGGAAACAGGTACAAAAGTATCTATATCCACAGTAAAAAGAGTCCTATATCGACATAACCTGAAAGGCCGCTCAGCAAGGAAGAAGCCACTGCTCCAAAACCGCCATAAAAAAGCCAGACTACGGTTTGCAACTGCACATGGGGACAAAGATCGTACTTTATGTAGAAATGTCCTCTGGTCTGATGAAACAAAAATAGAACTGTTTGGCCATAATGACCATCGTTATGTTTGGATGAAAACGGAGGTCACTTGCAAGCCGAAGAACACCATCCCAACCATGAAGCACGGGGGTGGCAGCATCATGCTGTGGGGGTGCTTTGCAGCAGGAGGGACTGGTGCACTTCACAAAATAGATGGCATCATGAGGAAGGAAAATTATGTGGATACATTGAAGCAACATCTCAAGACAAATGGGTCTTCCAAATGGACAATGATCCCCAAACATACTTCCAAAGTTGTGGCAAAATGGCTTAAGGACAACAAAGTCAAGGTATTGGAGTGGCCATCACAAAGCCCTGACCTCAATCCTATAAAACATTTGTGGGCAGAACTAAAAAAGCGTGTGCGATGCGAGCAAGGAGGCCTACAAACCTGATTCAGTTACACCAGCTCTGTCAGGAGGAATGGGCCAAAATTCACCCCTTATTGTGGGAAGCTTGTGGAAGGCTACCCGAAACGATTGACCCAAGTTAAACAATTTAAAGGTAATGCTACCAAATACTAATTGAGTGTATGTAAACTTCTGACCCACTGGGAATGTGATGAAAGAAATAAAAGCTGAAATAAATCATTCTCTACTATTATTCTGACATTTCACATTCTTCAAATAAAGTGGTGATCCTAACTGACCTAAGACAGGGAATTGTTACTAGGATTAAATATCAGGAATTGTGAAAAACTGAGTTTAAATGTATTTGGCTAAGGTGTATGTAAACTTCCGACTTCAACTGTAAATTCACATTCAGAAAATAATGTGAATGTTAATACTATTAAAGTTTGCAATAATTTTATATGCAATTTGTGGTGACAGGGTTTGAATGTGACAGTGTTAGTAATATCATGGGTTGCATGTTTTGTCACAATATTGTTTTGGGCGTTGATTAAGATTTAGTCTAAAGTGCATTATTGTGGCTTGGAAATACAATTACATTTCAAAAGGAGGAAAAAAATTAGTAGGAAAACCTTTTGTCATCATTTTGATGTCGCCAGATTGACTTTAGAATCAGTATAACGTTAGCTAGCTAGTTAAGATTAAGGGGAGACCACCGAATTTTAGCTAGCGTTAGCATTGCTAGCTACTTTTGACAAACAGTATTTCCAGGCCACTATAGTGTAATTTAGACAAAAAAATCATTAGCCTCTGTCCAGAATGACTGGGAATCACTGGACATTTGGGTATCAATATGGCTTCGCCGTCTGTAAAACGTTCATAACAATGGCAACGACATGACAGAGTGACGGAGGTGCAACCCATGGTAGTTGTAAGAGCTGTTCAAATGTTCAAAGCACTAAAAAAATCTATAGGTTCAAATGTTAGGGAACTGATTGATATGCATATGCCTCATGCCATGCCAGGAAGATGGGGCGAATGCCATCTTGTCAACTAATTATGTGAGAAAATAGGTAATAGTGAGTTTGGTCTCCCAATGTAGGCCTAATGAGGTATATTATGCCTTTCTATTGATTAGGGCTATTAGGGGGATCAGTATGAGTGCCTTCATTTGCCATTGGCACTGTTTAAGTCATCTACTTTCTGGATATCCATTATCTTGATATTCTTCTCAGCATTATCCACATTCCTTATCAGAGTTTCAAGCCTCCTCTTGATTTTCTTCTGATCTTCCAAGGCGCAGGTGATGACGATCGTCTGGAATTTTGTATCGATAGGAACAGGTGGTGCCTCGGTCACACAGGCAGCGTGCAGTGCCATCAGGCGCTTTCTGGCACCATCCATGTCGTCAAGCAACTTTGTTGCAATCTCATCAATCAAAGAGGTAGCCTTGTGTAACGCATCCTCCTGTGTGGAGTTCCTTATGGTTTCCACTGAGATTTCAACTGTTAGCGTCCTACCCAGAAGACGATTAGCAGTTAAAGATAGTTCCTCTCTCTCTCCTGAAATAGAGATATAGCACAGTGCTATCAGAGGTAGGTGTTAACAGGACAGTTCACTCTAAGGTAAAAGTTTATCAGAGGTACAAAAACCTTACAGAAGTTCTAATGTCAAGAAGTATGAAAAATGTATGCACTCACTAACTGTAAATTGCTCTGGATAAGAGCGTCTGCTAAATGACTAAAATGTAAAATGTAAGAATTCCTGTCTGCCATAAATGTAGATCGGCTATAGGCCTATAACCCAAACATCCCACATGAATGGAAAAGATGAACAGCAAATGGAATTGCATGGTGCCTACCTTTTCCATTCATTTTGGATTGAGGTAGGCTATATAGCTGGATTTCAACAAGATATGGCAGGACTTGTACTCAACATAAGACCCCTTTTTAGATCTAAAAACATCTGACAAACATTATTTTGGAGTGATTTATCCCTTTAAATAAGAATTCCAACCAGTTAAGTGTCCCATTAATTCAACCAAATGTAGGCCTATGCAGTAGCCTGCAGGCAGAAGTTATCTGATGGCTGTCAAACAACACATAGCCTACCGTCACAAATGCTGCGCATTTCTTCACTATTCTTTATGGATTGTATCATATCCAGTAAGCACTCTCTCTCCTGTTCCATTGAGGTTGCGGCTTCACGTAAAGCCTCCACCCTAAAACAGATGTCATTGCCATGAGATATTTCTATAGAATATGGTGAGTGTAGACCTACGTGACTCAGAGACTGTTGTGAACATATTATTCATCCCATTGCCTATGCTACAACTGTTTCTCAGTGTTGATTTTTTATTTTATTTAAATGTACTGTTTAAATAAGGCTATGGGTTTGTTATTTTAGAGGACAAACACAGTTTGGCACCGTAAAATATTCGAATAAACCAGATTGTAAACGATAAGGTCCTATTCTGCACTTTAGTGTGCACACGTATTCAGATAACTTTCTTCCTTCTTCCACTGTCACCTGTCTGTTTAGAATCAGAGTTTAAAGCAGCTGTCGCATGGCACCGTAGTAGCACACGGAGAGATTGTGTAGTCTAATAGGCTACTGTGTGTATTCTTTAAAGATACTAGATAAAAACATTTATATGATACTGTTTCATACAGTATTCATGCTGTTAGGCTAGCCTTCTGCAAAATACCTTATTTCCAGCTGGTCCAAACTTTCAAGTAGTTGTCCGGAGCGATCTGCCATAGACATTGATCTGCTGAATTTGCCTTTAGCGGCTTCAGTCATTTTAGCATGGTGGATTTTTGCTTGAGCCATGTTTAGTTAGTAGAATGATCTCCCTCGAGATTCAATTCCAATGGACACCTAACGGTACACTACTAGATGGTCCCTAGAGTGCAATCTAGAGGTTTCTGCCTGACAGACAGCACCCCAGAGTAAACATTTCCAAACATGGGCTGGAGCTTCCCTTTCTGTTCTTACCAACCCCTCGGACGGGATTGAGGAGTACACTTCGGGAACGTTCAAGAGGGTGGGCTTCATTCTGGGTGAAGAGAGGACATGAATAAAACAATTATTCCCTCTTTATGTCGAGATCACAACTTATTTATCTCATGATCAAGACATAACAAAAGTTGTTTTGTCGAGATCACGAGATAAACTCTATAAATAGAAGTGGACATATTGATGATAGTTTGACAGTATGGCTGAGGCGACAGATCCCACAGTGGATCAGCGCATATGTTTTTATTGATTGCTACACTAAGGGATGGTACTGTATATTTCATGCTAACGTCATGCTTTCGTTTGGAGCTCATTATCAGTTTATAAGTTAGAATTTAAGCAAGCTAAATGTCCCTTACCTTGAACTAAGAGTTCTTGGGGCATCTAAAAGCTCTTGGGGCATTTAAGCCCAGGCTGTGTGCCACCCCCAAGACCACAACCAGTTGCATGAAAGAAACAACGCAGAAAACTTTATTAGTCTTGTGAGCAAGCACGCTAGCTAGTTAGCTAGGTAGTCTTCTTAGCCAGTTAGTTAGCTTGTTATCTATGGTGGTTGTTAGCTTGCATAATTGATATGCATATAATTGTAAAGGACACTTCATGTGTATATTATGGATAATATTAACATTTACAGAGTGGGTGAGCTCCATTCCTGACAGGCTGATCAGATTCAATTTCAGCCACAGAGCTTGATCAGGTTCAATAGCAGCCTCAGAGGCTGATAAATCAGGATTCTGCCTTGGCTGTTTCATAGGTAAAGCTCCTTGCAGGCAGATTAGCAGTCAGTGCATTATGTATATCATCAAGACTGGGTGCGCTCTATTTCTGGCAGGCTGATCAGATTCAATAGCAGCCTCTGAGGCTGATAAATCAGGATACTGCCTTGTAGGCTGTCTGCAAGGAGCCTTCCATATGAAACAGCCTACAAGCAGCATCCTGATTTATCAGCCTCTGAGGCTGCTATGGAATCTGATTAGCCTGCCAGTAATAGAGCTAACCCACTCTGGATTATAAACATCAACCTATAAGGATTATAAACATCAACCTATAAAGAGCTGACAGCTAATCTGCCTGCAAGGAGCTTTACCTATGAAACAGCAGACAGCCTTACCTATGAAACAGTGGGTGAGCTCTATTCTCTATAGGTAAGGATGGAAGTGGTGTTGGAGGGCTAGTAGGAGGCACTCTTTCCTCTGATCATTTTTTAAAATCCCAATGCCCCAGGGCAGTGATTGGGGACATTGCCCTGTGTAGGGTGCCATCTTTCGGGTGGGACGTTAAACGGGTGTTCTGACACTCTGTGGTCACTAAAGATCCCATGGCACTTATCGTAAGAGATGGGGTGTTAACAGGCGCCTGCAGGCTGACTTCGGTCATCAATTGAACGGTGTTTCCTCTGACATATTGGTGCGGCTGGCTTCCGGGTTAAGTGGGCGGGTGTTAAGGAGTGCGGTTTGGCGGGTCATGTTTCGGAGGACGCATGACTCGACCTTCGCTTCTCCCGAGCCCGTTGGGGAGTTGCAGCGATGAGACAAGATCGTAACTGGATCGCAATTGGATATCATGAAAAAGGGGTTAGAATAAAATAAACAAATAAGGGTTGAATAAAAAAAGACAGAGCTGCCTGTCAGGCATTGTTCAGGGCTTAAATGCCCCTCATTGTGATCAACGCAGCCACATGGCTCCTTGATGAACTGATTGTTGTGCATCTGAACAAATGATCGTGCATCTGAATGAATGGATGATGCGTGGTACTTTGATTATCTCGTGATCTCGAGAAAACAACTATTGTTATGTCGTGATCACAAGAAAATTATCTTATGATCTCGACAAAACAACTTATGTTATGTAGTGCTCATGAGATAAATAAGGTGTGATCTCGACATAACGAAGGAGAAAAAAAATATATTAATATGTCCTCTCTGGACTTCAGAACAAAATAGAGGAGGATTGTCTAACTTTTTTATGTTGCTTTGGGGAGGGTTGTAGATGGATGTCTTCACAGGTCCAACAGATTCCGAGAGGGTCCGGGTACTATATTCTGACTTTTGTCTCAGATCTGGGTGGGTCTGATATAACTGCCATGGTCTCGGGTATGTGCAATTAAAATGTGTAATTAAAATTGATTTACTGACTGGACCCGATTGGACCTGTCCTCTGTTAATGTAACGTGTGTGAGGTGATGAGAACTGCTCAAACTTGTTATCTGTGTCAGCCAATTGCAACTCAATAAAAAGTATAACTTATGTCCAGCTGAAACTGGTTTCGGCTGCTCACCACATGTGCATCTGCTGCCGAGGAGCGAGAGAGAGCGAGTGAAAGGAGCCTTGGCCTAGGCTACTATTGATTGCCTTTTTCATTGAAGTGAAACAAAAGTTATAGGAGAAAGAGTATAGTGAAAAGAAGCGGACAAAGATGAGAAGAACATTGGCACAGTCAAATGGAGTGTGTGCAACTCACTATTTGGGTTTCCTACAATTTTCTAGCTTTTATAGTTTTATTTTCGTATCTATTATCATTTGTTTTATCATTATTATTATTGTAGGCCTATTTAAGAATCTAAACCAGTTCTTTAAATATGCAAAAATATTTATTTCATTTTGTTGAGACATTTTCATTGCCGAAATTAAGTTCGAACTGTCTTTTTAATTTTGTACTCCGTATTTAGGCTAGTTTAAGATAGGTCTATAGGCCTAAGGTTCTCTTCCTTTATATTTATTTTTAAGGCCTACAGTGCCTTCGGGAAGTATTCAGACCCCTTGACTTTTTCCACATTTTGTTACGTTACAGCCTTATTCTAAAATTGATTAAATAGTTTTTTCCCCCTCATCAATCTACACACAATACCCCATAATGACAAAGCAAAAACAGGTTTTTAGACATTCTTGCTAATTTATAGAAAATCTAAAACTTTAATATCACATTCACATAAGTATTCAGACCCTTTACTCAGTACTTTGTTGAAGCACCTTTGGCAGTGATTACAACATCGAGTCTTCTTGGGTATGACGCTACAAGCTTGGCACACCTGTATTTGGAGATTTCTCCCATTATTTTCTGCAAATCCTCTCAAGCTCTGTCAGGTTGGATGGGGAGCGTCCCTGCACAGCTATTTTCAGGTCTCCAGAGATGTTCGATCGGTTTCAAGTCCGGGCTCTGGCAGGGCCACTCAAGGACATTCAGAGACTTGTCCCGAAGCCACTCCTGCGTTGTCCTGGCTGTGTGCTTAGGGTCGTTGTCCTGTTGGAAGGTGAACCTTCGCCCCAGTCTGAGGTCCTGAGCAGGTTTTCATCATGGATCGCTCTATACTTTGCTCCGTTCATCTTTCCCTCGATCCTGACTAGTCTCCCAGTCCCTGCCGCTGAAAAACATCCCCACAGCGTGATGCTGTCACCACCATGCTTCACCGTAGGGATGGTGCCAGGTTTCCTCCAGACGTGACACTTGGCATTCAGGCCAAAGAGTTCAATCAGACCAGAGAGTCTTGTTTCTCATGGTTTGAGAGTCTTTAGGTGCCTTTTGGCAAACTCCAAGCGGGCTGTCATGTGGCTTTTACTGAGGAGTGGCTTCCGTCTGGCCACTCTACCATAAAAGGCCTGATTGCTGGAGTGCTGTAGAGATGGTTGTCCTTCTGGAAGGTTCTCCCATCTCCACAGAGGAACTCTAGAGCTCGGTCAGAGTGACCATCGGGTTCTTGGTCACCTCCCTGACCAAGGCCTTTCTCCCCCGATTGCTCAGTTTGGCCGGGCGGCCAGCTCTAGGAAGAGTTTTGGTGGTTCCAAACTTCTTCCATTTAAGAATTATGGAGGCCACTGTGTTCTTGGGGACCTTCAAATGCTGCAGAAATGTTTTAAAACCCTTCCCCAGATCTGTGCCTCAACACAATCCTGTCTTGGAGCTCTACGGACAATTCCTTCGACCTCATAGCTTGGTTTTTGCACTGACATGCACTGTCAACTGTGGGACCTTATATAGACAGGTGTGTGCCTTTCCAAATCATGTCCAATCAATTGAATTTACCACAGGTGGACTTCAATCAAGTTGTAGATACAGCTCAAGGATGATCAATGGAAACAGGATGTACCTGAGCTCAATTGAGTCTCATAGCAAAGGGTCTGAATACTTACGTAAATAATTTTGCTAAACATTCTAAAAACCTGTTCTTGCTTTGTCATTGTGGGGTATTGTGTGTAGATTGCTGAGAAAAAAGTAAATATTTAATCCATTTTAGAATAAGGCTGTAATGTAACAAAATGTGGAAAAAGACAAGGGGTCTGAATACTTTCCGAAGGCACTGCCCTGATGCATGTTGTGCTCAAATCTGACAGCTGAACCTTGAGGTGGACAATTCTTGTTGTAGGAAATTAAAAACCAATAAAACAATAGGCTAGTGTTGTCACGATACCAACATTTTACTAACGATATGATACCAGGCCAAGTATCACTATACAGAGTAGTATCGTAAAAAAAAAAAAATCAGATTGGCCTAGCGTCCTGTTCGCCCCGTCCCCCGACACTTGTTCCCGTTTTCAAAATGTTATGCGCTTCACAAAAAACGTCACTGATATTCACACTTCTACTCAATGCAACACGTACTGAATTTAACTTCACAATGTTCACTGTATAATAGAATACTGCATAGAATGGCTAATTTGCTCATATTTACAAAGGCCTGCCTGTGATTGGGCTGGAGGAAGGAATATACACTAAATATAAACGCAACATGGAAAGTGTTGGTCCCATGTTTCATGAGCTGAAATAAAATATAATTTATTTGACTATATCCAGACATCCAATGATTCATGTTAAAAGTTCAAAGAAAGAGACAAAGAAAATAATTCACATCTTTATTACATAAAAAAAAAAAAAAAAGCTCTGAACATGTGATAAAGGTATGCCTCAAAATAATATTTACAGTTCAGAAATGTTGTTACTACAGTTATTACTGTGTAATCACATAGGTACAAGCGTGTCTTAAAGTGTTGAAAGTAGCTGATATGTTACACATAAAACAAAACATAAAATGCCATAAACCAAATTAATGACAGGTTCCCTGAAAGTAACATTCACTGATCAGTATTCAAGAAGGCTTCTTTTGAGCGCTTCCTCCATCTCTGTGAAGATTCGTTGGGGAGGAGGGGGAAACAGAAAAAATATCAAATAATGTCAACTTCAATAAGACATGCTGCAGCACATAACTGTCACGTAAACACTAGACACTGACCATCTCAAAAGCATTCACGCAGTTCTCTACAGCAACTACAAACCACCAACTATCTGAATGTCCCAGTGTGCATTTAATGATACTGTGATTTGATTAGACATACTCACACTGATGTTATTCTTCTAGCATGTATTGCTGGTAAAAAAAGAGAGGTATCATCTTGTTTTTATTTTGCTACACCTACATGGCCTGATTGGGCAACAGCTTCAAAGCTGACAGACAGAACCTTTCTGGCCATTCAAACAAGGTATCATGCAAACCATTAAAGCAAATGTAACTAATGAAAAGGTCCTCAAACAAAGATAAGTAAAGGTGTTACACACCAATATCAAAGTCAGTTGGCTCTCTTGCTTCTTCCACACTTAAAGCCAAGGCACGCTTCATCTCCTCATCAGATTCATCTGAAACGCATTGTAAATGGACAAAAAATTAGATTATCTGTTTAGAAAAACATTTCCAAGAAACCTTCTATAGCTATATAATGGCTACGGCAAATCAATGAACACATCGGAAGACAAAAAAATAGTCATCACCTCCATGGGCTTCAGTGTCATCTCTGACCTCATCCAAGTTCATAGCAATGGCATGTTTCACATCTTCAAACTCCTCCGCTATAAAATAAAATACAGTAATAAATCAAATCAGTTTTCTAAGACCAGGAAGGTTAATGCAGTGGAAATTAATAATGGAAGATAGTCCAAAGCAGACTTGCCATTCACTTCTGGTTTGATCTCCACAGCGGCCAGTGTCTTGACCGCAGAGGAAGCTGCTGCCTTCTCTGTATGACTCTCACCTCCATCCCTGGAGCTGGAGCAAGGCTCCAGAGGGCAGTGCTGGGAGTGGTAGTGGTTATGGAAACTGGGCACGTCCTTATGACTCTCCTGACAGGATCCACACACCACGTCAAAGGTATTCTCTAGCCCCAAGGCTTTGTGTTGAGAGTGGACATGAGTCTTTATCTGGGCAAACGAGGACACCTGGATGTCGCATGGTGCACACACGTAGCTGCATTTGTCTTCACTGGATAGCCACTTCATGCATCGTGTGAAGGTAGCCTTCCTTTCGTCTTTGTCCTTTTCTGACAACATGCATGGACACAGACATTCACGCCTTTCACTGGCTGTTGCCAGTTGACTGGAGTTTTCGGCCTCGGTGGGTCCATCAACCTCAGGCTCATCCATGCGGTAGTAGTCCTTACTGTGCATGCCCCTATAGTGCTCCTGGAACTCCCCCTCAGTGTCATACTCCATGCTGTCACATAGCCCGCAGAAGTAGCGTGTCACTATTTGGTTGCTGTGCTCGTTCACACAGTGCCTGCATAATGTGGCCTCCTTGAAGAACTTCTGTGGGCAGTGGCCACAGGCAAACCTCTGGAAACTGTGGTTGCTCACATCTCTGCAGTGTTTGTGCACAGCTTGCTCCGAGTTAAAGATGTCCTCACACATCCTGCACATCCACCTCTCGTCCTGTTTGGGGGGAGGTGTGGGAGATGTAGTTCTAGTCCTGATCTCAGTGAGGGTGCTGGGTCTGGGTCTGCCGCTGGTGGAGGGTTTGGCATAGGGAATGGGAGCAGGCTCCTCGTCCGATACCGCTCTCTCCCTGAAGTAAGTGTGTCCACTGTGGGCCTCTGACACATGCAACATGATGTCCTCGTGACGCGGCATGTCAACCTTGCACAGCCGGCAGTGGAAGAGGAAGTTTGAGAGGTGGGCACCACCGTGAAAACGGCTCATGTGCAGGCGAGTGATGGACGACTCGCCCATATGCTTTCCACACACGCCACATTGATGGAAGATCTGATTGGCAGCAAAAAGGTGCTTGCTGGCCATGGCCTCCTCTGAAAAGCGCTGGCCACACTCACAAAACCATGCCACTATCAAGCAACTCCTTGAAGGCCCAGCGCTGCCATTCAAAGTTCCCTCGCGTCTCTGGCGCTTGGCTGGGGATCCAACAGAATCACCTCTCTTCTTGTCCCTCTTCCGAGAGGGGGTTACAGGATCTTTTGACTGTTTGGGCCGTGACTTCGCTGCAGCCGTTGCCCTCTTGGCGTGTTGAATTTCATAGAAATTGCTGTAGTGCAGAATTGCCTTTTCCATGGTGCCGTTGACCTCAGTATTGTGCTGACTCAATTCTTTATGCCTCTCAACATCACCTTGGTTGAGGAACAGTTTGCAACACACAGCGCACTGGCCCAGCACTTGTAGTTGTTTCATGACCTGCACCACTGTTTTCTCTGCCTCAGCCCTAGCAGCGCCCTGTCTGCACTGCACACTGAGGGAGAAGGGAACAAAAAACAAGCAGAGATAACATTAACAAAATGACAAAGGAGATCATCTATCCATTAGGGCCGGAACAATACCAGTATCGCGATTCTCGTTAGTATCGTGGCAAGGAAACAAAACTTCTTTAGGAAAACAGGCCGAATGTTGGAACCAAAAATCATTATGGTGTGATCCAGTCACATGTATTTATCTTCTAAGCTACAGCACACAATATATTACATATTTTCATTTTTGCCATGCGAAAAATATTGCAATACTGGTATCTTCAAAGCCCTATTATCCATATGATGGAAGTGAGGGTTATAGTCAAGGCCGAGGCTGCGGTACCAAAGGATTCAGCTTTGATCTAACTTTATTAAGCAAGCACCATTCATTCATCACTGAAATTCACCAGAGTAGCCTGTTCTCTGGGCAGCCAAACAAGTAGAGCAGAGACTGTGTAAAGTTGGGAATCCCGCACATGCGCAGAAGCTTCGGATCTTTAGCTATTGGAAAGAGGGTGCCACTCCGTATAATCAATGATGTGTTAAATATGTACATTACCAGTGAAAAGTTTGGACACACCTACTCATTCAAGGGTTTTTCTTTATTTTTACTATTTTCTACATTGTAGAATAATAGTGAAGACATCAAAACTATGAAATAACACATATGGAATCATGTAGTAACCAAAAAAAGTGTTAAACAAATCAAAATATAGTTTATATTTGAGATTCTTCAAAGTAGCCACCCTTTGCCTTGATGACAGCTTTTCACAGTCTTGGCATTCTCTCAACCAGCTTCATGAGGAATGCTTTTCCAACAGCCTTGAAGGAGTTTCCACATATGCTGAGCACTTGTTGGCTGCTTTTCCTTCACTTTGCAGTCCAACTCATCCCAAACCATCTCAATTGGATTGAGGTCGGGTGATTGTGGAGGCCAGGTCATCTGATGCAGCACTCCATCACGCTCCTTCTTGGTCAAATAGCCCTTACACAGCCTGGAGGTGTGTTGGGTCATTGTCCTGTTGAAAAACAAATGATAGTCCCACTAAGCACAAACCAGATGGGATGGCGTATTGCTGCAGAATGCTGTGGTAGCCATGCTGGTTAAGTGTGCCTTGAATTCGAAATGAATCACTGACAGTGTCACCAGCAAAGTACCCCCACCCCATCACACCTCCTCCTCCATGCTTCACAGTGGGAACCACACATGCGGAGATCATCCGTTCACTTACTCTGCGTCTCACAAAGACACGGCGGTTGGAACCAAAAATCTCAAATTTGGACTCATCAGACCAAAGGACAGCTTTCCACCGGTCTAATGTCCATTGCTTGTGTTTCTTGGCCCAAGCAAGTCTCTTCTTCTTATTGGTGTCCTTTACTAGTGGTTTCCTTGCAGCAATTCGACCATGAAGGCCTGATTCACGCAGTCATTCATTCAGTTGATGTTGAGATGCGTCTGTTACTTGAACCCTGTGAAGCATTTATTTGGGCTGCAATCTGAGGTGCAGTTAACTCTAATGAACTTATCCTCTGCAGCAGAGGTAACTCTGGGTCTTCCTTTCCTGTGGCGGTCCTCATGAGAGCCATTTTCATCATAGCGCTTGATGGTTTTTGCGACTGCACTTGAAGAAACTTTCAAAGTTCTTGAAATGTTCCTGCTTGACTGACCTTCATGTCTTAAAGTAATGATGGACTGTCGTTTCTCTTTGCTTATTTGAGCAGTTCTTGCCATAATATGGACTTGGTATTTTAACAAATTGGGCTATTTTACCTTTTAGTCATTTAGCAGACGCTCTTATCCAGAGCGACTTACAGTTAGTGAATACATTTATTTATTTTTTTATACTGGCCCCCCGTGGGAATCGAACCCACAACCCTGGCGTTGCAAACGCCATGCTCTATCAACTGAGCTACATCCCTGCCGGCCATTCCCTCCCCTACCCTGGACAACGCTGGGCCAATTGTGCGCCGCCCATGAGTCTCCCGGTCGCGGCCGGCTGCGACAGAGCCTGGATTCGAACCAGGATCTCTAGTGGCACAGTTAGCACTGCGATGCAGTGCCTTAGACCACTGCGCCACTCAGGCTATCTTCTGTATACCACCCCTACCTTGTCACTACACAACTGATTGGCTCAAACGCATTAAGAAGGAAAGAAATTCCACAAATTAATTTAACAAGGCACACCTTTTAATTGAAATGCATTCCAGGTGATTACCTCATGAAGCTGGTTGAGAAAATGCCAAGAGTGTGCAAAGCTGTCATCAAGGCAAAGGGTGGGTACTTTGAAGAATCTCAAATATAAAATATATTTTGATTTGTTTAACACTTTTTTGGTTACATGATTCCATATGTGTTATTTCATAGTTTTGATGTCTTCACTATTATTCTACAATGTAGAAAATAGTAAAAATAAAGAAAAACCCTGGAATGAGTAGGTGTGTCCAAACTTTTGACTGGTACTGTATGTCTACGGTTATTTTTGTTTGTCTGTGTATAAGACAATAAATCAATGTGTATGTAACAATATGTACCTACACTGTAATTACATTTTACCTGCCTATTTAACAACCATGCATGTACACTAATACCATACTGACTTTAAAAGTACACTAATAACACATACAGATATAAACTTACTTGAAGTGGGCCTGTGCTTCCATGTGTGAGTTAAGCCCCTTTTGGCATGTTGTACATCTCACGCTGAATGAAACCTCCTTACACAAAGCAATGAGACGATTCTTTGCATATCGTGGGATGGGAACTGGCAATGCTGTCCCTTTAGTTTCTTTTATCCAGAAAGAGAACAAAATATCTCGTTACACATTTCAATGGAGGATACAAAGTTATAGCAGTGTATTGGCAGGTTATCCTGTCCAAGCACTATTCATTCACACAAAATATTTGCTCTATAGAAATGCCACAAACAGCATAAAAAGAGTCCATATGCCGCTAATCTTTGTTCTCGCTGCCTAAATACAATTTCCCTGGGCATAATATCTAGCGTTGATGCTGATTAATATTGTATACATGACTGAAGATGATTTACAGTGGAACAGGCAGTTAAGGCTTACCACTCATGATGATGGACTGAAAGAAGTGGTTTTTGGCCGACATATGCTGGAGGCACTCGTCCCTGATGTAGAAGAGCAGGTAGCAGGCAGGGCAGGCGAAGCACACGATCGTCTGGCAGGTCTGAGTGTGGTCATGGTCTTCATCAGGGGAGGACAGCTAAAGAAAATAAGAATTGTTACACACAGTACAAGTTTAAGACTTTTTCGGCTGGATTGAAATGTGTATCCAATATGTGGTTGAAAATAAATTCATACTTTAATATCCTTATTTTAGTTTAAGAGACAAAATAGTATGGCAATCACTGGAGAACAAACTAGTTCGAGACTATCCCATCAACGGTCCCTGAAAAACAGTAATATCCTATGTTTCTTAGAGTCGTGGCTGAACCAGTATGTCACCTGTGCAACTAGAGGCGACAAAACTATTGATCACCTTTACTCCACACACAAGACCTTCCCTCAGTCTCCCTTTGGTAAATCAGACCATAACTCTATCCTCCTGCTTCCAAGAAATAAATCAAAACAGGAAGTACCAGTGAAGCACTCAATACGGAAGTGGTCCATGAAGCGGATGCTAAGCCACAGGACTGTTTCGCTACCACATATGTTCTGTGATTCATCCAATAACATTGTGGAGTTTACCACATCACTCACCGGCTTCATTAATAAGTGCATCGACAACGTCATCCTCACAGTGACATACATACATTGAACAAAAATATAAAGGTAAAGTGTTGGTCCCATGTTTCATGAGCTGATTTTTTTTTTTTTTTTAATCCCATGAATTTTCCATACACAAGAAAATATTCTCACATTTTGTGCACAAATTTGTTTACATCCCTGTTAGTGAGCATTTCTCCTTTGCCAAGAAAATCCATCCACCTGTCTGGTGTGGCATATCAAGAAACTGATTAAAAAGCATGATCATTACACACGGGCACCTTGTGCGGGGGACAATAAAAGGCCACTTTAAAATGTGCAGTTTTGTCACACAACACAAGTTTGTCTCAAGTTGAGGGAGTGTGCAATTGGCATGCTGACTGCATGAATGTCCACCAGAACTATTGACAGAGAATTTAATGTTAATTTCTCTACCATAAGCTATCTCCAACGTTGTTTTAGAGAATTTGGCAGTACCACCAACCAGCCTCACAACCGCAGACCACATGTAACCACGCCAGCCAAGGACCTCCACATCCGGCTTCTTCACCTGGGGGATCATCTGAGACCAGCCACCCGGACAGCTGATGAAACTGAGGAGTATGTCGGTCTGTAATAAAGCCCTTTTGTGGGAAAAAACGAATTCTGATTGGCTTAGCCTGGCTCCCCAGTGGGTGGGCCTGGCTGCCAAGTGGGTTGGCCTATGCCCTCCAAGGCCCACCCATGGCTGCACCCCTGACCAGTCATGTGAAATCCATAGAATTTATTTCAATTGACTGATTTCCTTATATGAACTGTAACACAGTTAAATCTTTGAAATTGTGGCGTTCATATTTTTTGTTCAGTATACATACCCCAATCAGAAGCCATGGATTACAGGCAACATCCGCACTGAGCTAAAGGCTAGAGCTGCCGCTTTCAAGGAGCGAAACACTAATTTGGACACTTATAAGAAATCCAGCTACGACCTCCGACGAGCGATCAAACAAAGATGTGGCAGGGCTTGCAAACTATCACAGATTACAAAGGGAAACCCAGCCGCGAGCTGCCTAGCGAAGCGAGCCTACCAAACGAGCTAAATGCCTTCTATGCTCGCGTCGAGGCAAGCAACACTGAACCATGCATGAGAGAACCAGCAGTTCCGGACGACTGTGATCTCGCTCTTCATAGCCAATATGAGTAAGACCTTTAAACAACAGAAGGAATACCAGGACACGTAGTCAGAGCATGTACTGACCAGCTGGCAAGTGTCTTCACTGACATTTTCAACATATCCCTGACTCGGTCTGTACTACCAACTTGTTTTAAGCAGGCCATAGTGCAAAATAATTACAATTTAGTATTAACACGAGTGATAGATGTGCAGAAGATGATGTGCAAATAGAGATACTGGGGTGCAAATGAGCTAAATAAATAACAATATGGGGATGAGGTAGTTGGGTGGGCTAATTACAGATGGGCTGTGTACAGGTGCAGTGATCGGTAAGGTGCTCTGACAATTGATGCTTAAAGTTAGTGAGGGAGATAAGTGTTTCCAGCTTCAGAGATTTTTGCAGTTCGTTCCAGTCATTGGCAGCAGAGAACTGGATGGAATGGCGGCCAAAGGAGGTGTTGGCTTTGGGGATGACCAGTGAGATATACCTGCTGGAGCGCATACTACGGGTGGGTGTTGCTATGGTGACCAATGAGCAAAGATAAGGCGGGGATTTGCCCAACAGTGATTTATAGATGACCTGGAGCCAGTGGGTTTGGCGACGAATATGTAGTGAGGGCCAGCCAACGAGAGCGTACAGGTCACAATGGTGGGTAGTATATGGGGCTTTGGTGACAAAACGGATGGCACTGTGATAGACTACATCCAATTTGCTGAGTAGAGTGTTGGAGGCTATTTTGTAAATGACATCACCGAAGTCAAGGATCGGTAGGATAGTCAGTTTTACGAGGGCATGTTTGGCAGCATGAGTGAAGGAGGCTTTGTTGCGAAATAAGAAGCCAATTCTAGATTTAACTTTGGATTGGAGATACTTAATGTGAGTCTGGAAGGAGAGTTTACGGTCTAGTTGTCCACATATTCTAAGTCAGACCCGCCGAGAGTAGTGATTCTAGTCGGGCGGGCGGGTGCAAGCAGCGTTCGATTGAAGAGCATGCATTTAGTTCTACTAGCGTTTAAGCGCAATTGGAGGCTACGGAAGGAGTGTTGTATGGCATTGAAGCTCGTTTGGACTATCGCCCCATTGCACTCACATCTATAGCTATGAAATGCTTTTAAATGCTGGTCATGGCTCACTTCAACACCATCATCCCAAACACCCTGGACCCACTCCAATTCGCATACCGCCTCAACAGATTCACAGATGAGTGCAATAGAGATTGCGTCCGCACTGCCCTCATCCACCTGGACAAAAGGAATACCTATGTAAGAATGCTGTTCATTGACTACATCTCAGCATTCAACACCATAGTCCCTTCAAGGCTCAGCACAAAGCTCAGGACCCTGGGACTGAACACCTTCTGCAACTGGATCCTGGATTTCCTGACGGGCCGCCGCCATGCGGTGAGGGTAGGCAACATCAACACAGGGTTCCCATCAAGTTTGCTGACGACACAACGGTGGTAAGACTGATCACTGACGACGATGAGGCAGCCTATAGGGAGGAGTTCAGAGACCTGGCAGTGTGGTGCCAGGAAAACAACCTCTCCCTCAACGTCAGCAAGACAAAGGAGATGATCGTGGACTACGGGATACGGTGGGGAGAGCACACCCCCATCCATATCGATGGGGCTGTAGTGGAGTGTGTCCACACATCACTAAGGAATTAACATGGTCCACACACCCCCACACAGTTGTGAAGAGGGCACAACAGTGCCTCTTTTCACTCAGGAGACTGAAAAGATTTGGCATGGGCCCTCAGATCCTCATAACGTTATGCAGCTGCACCATTGAGACCATCTTGACTGGCTGCATCACCGCTTGGTACAGCAACTGCAAGCCACCCGACCACAAGGCGCTACAGAGGGTGGTGAGTACGGCCCAGTATATCACTGGGGCCGAGCTCCCTGCCATCCAGGACCTCTATACCAGGCGGTAGAGTCTGACCAATATATATTGGCCTTTTACCGCTATCGGACGATAACTCAACCGATATTCAATAAATAGAATGAAAAAAGGGAATCTCATGCTTATCTGAACACTTGTGGCCATTCTCATGAGGTGTCATTATGATCACAATGTATGAAATCAACATTTGAAGCATAGTTATTGGACAATTGCTCTTTTGGATGGCAATTTATGAGAATTCAGTGTGGGAAAAACGGCTGTTTTTAATTTCCTTGCTGTAAAACAGTATATCGGCAGATATATCGTTAAGTTGTCCCCACAAAAAAAATCGGACCCAAAAACCCATATGGGTCGGCTCTACCAGGCGGTGTCAGAGGAAGGCCCAAAAAATGGCCAAAGTCTCCAGCCACACAAGCCATAGACTGTTCTCTCTGCTACCGCACGGCAAGAGGTACCAGTGCACAAAGTCTGGAACCAACAGGACCCTGAACAGCTTCTACCCCCAATCCATAAATAAGACTGCTTAACAAGGCTGCTAAATAGCTAATCAAATTGCTACCCAGACTAACTGCATTGACCCTTTTTTGCACTAACTCTCTTGCACAGACTATGCACACACACTGTACTCTACCCACACACTCACACTGACACCCCAACACACACACACGAGCACTACATACACCCATACACGAGCACTACATACACCCATACACACATAACATGCACACTGACGCCAAACACACACGGTGCTGCTACAGCTAAGTCTATTATCTATCCTGTTGCCTAGTCACTTTACCCCTACCAATATGTACATAGCTACCTCAATTACCTCGTACCCCTGCACATCGACTTGCTACTGGTACTCCCTGTATATAGCCAAGTTTGTTATTTGTAGTTGGTATTGTTATTCACTGTGTATTTATTCCTCGTGTCACTATTTCTATTTTATCTTTAACTCTGCATTGTTGGTAACGGACCCGTAAATAAGTATTTTCACTGATAGTCTACACCTGTTGTTTACAAAGCACGTAACAAATAAAATAGATATATACTTTTTTGGGGATCACAGCTAAATGCTGCCCTCTACTGCTTTGGTAGTGATAAACGTCAACACTATTTTCTAAGTGATAATTTTGAGGTCCTCCATCCAATAACAAAATCTGTTGCAGGAATTACATTTACATTTTAGTCATTTAGCAGATGCTCTTATCCAGAGCGACTTACAGTTAGTGAGTGCATACATTTTATTCATACTGGCCCCCCGTGGGAAACAAACCCACAACCCTGGCATTGCAAGCACCATGCTCTACCAACTGAGCTACACGGGGCCTACTGTGAAGTATTGCTGCATTGTTTATGTTTTCAACCTCCTAGTGAGAACCAATTGTGAAACAGGAAGGCCCTACTGTGTGAAGGTGGTTGACTGGGCGGACTACTCGCTGGTAAAAAAGCTACTTTATAGCTTCAAACGGCAATGTATCCCTCATGGTATTTGATTGGTAGGTAGAATTCTTGCATAGAGCACATTTGAATGACAGCGGTGACTGAACACAATTGAAAGTGCATAATTTCTAACAACAGTAGTTGATTTTACAGGCATAACCAACCTTTGACTGCTGATGCACCTTCCAAGCTTCTTTGGTGTCAAAATGAACACCACAAGCAACGCAGGCAAACAGTTCAGTTGGGCTTCCTTTCAGGTAGATGGTCGGGTCACAAGGAGAGTGGTCAAACCTGCAGACAGAAAAAATGGTTCTCAGGGATAAATTACAAGTAGGTTGTTTATTATGTATAATGGTTATAGAAATATAAATCTCATAATTTAACCTTTTCAAGTGACCTTCCAGGAGAGGTACGTTGTCATAAACCCGACCACAGTTGATCACTGGACAGGTATGTGTAGATGAGCTACTGGTGGGAAAGGGGACCTGTCTGCGTCTCCAGCTAGCTCCAGTATTGATGACCCCAGGTGTCACACCTAAGAACAGACAATGGTAAGACTGAGATCCTGCTTTTCTACCAAATTAAATGAAATGTCTTGTGTGCCTCTAGCACTGACTCCAGGGCCCGTGTTCACAAAGCGTCTCAGTGTAAGAGTGCTGATCTAGGATCAGTTGAGCCCTACACTGAGACATTCTATGAATATGGGGCCCAGATCTCAACTTTAAAAATGCCTTCTGAGACTAACTAGACTATATTACCTGGCATCTTTAACCACATGTCTACACAGCGCTTGGCATCATATGCGTTACCATTGGGACTAAATGCCAGCTCCTGCCGCCCATGAGCCTTTTGTGAAATTTGCTTCTCCTGAAATAAGGCAAGCAGAGACATGACCAATATGAAGAACTGTGCAAAGAGAGACAATAGCTCCCACAAAAGACACAATACACAACAAGCTGCAATGGCTAATATGATTATCATACCAGTTTGAACTTGAAGTCTCCTTACCTTGAAGGCTTTACACTTCTCTGCTCTTTCCTTTTTCTCCACAGCCACTTGGCGAGCTAGTCTGTCCAAAGTTGAGGTGACCTGAGCTTTCTGTCGGTCAATCTCATCTTCAATCTTAACAACAATACAAAAAAGGTACACAAAACATATTATGTACATAACAATAACATGTCACTTTTTCAACCACCTTTCCATGTCATTACAGTTTGTATTAAATGTCTTATCTTTCACTTGACACACTCACTGTCTCAGCTGTGGGTAAACTTCCATCGTCTTCCCCATCACTCAGTAAATCAATACATTCCAGTACAGGTCTAAGCGGAGCCTCCTAAAACGAGATAGTTAAATGGAGGAGACACTGTGTCTTTCTGACACTGTTGACTCTTTTGGACCGGTCTGAAAACGTCTGTTTTTTCATGACAGTTGTATAAAAATATACTGACTCACACTATCCAAGTTTGGGTCAATTTAATTTAAACTAATGCATTGTACGAAAATGTTTCATGTAAATTACTAACCCTAACTTCCTGCAAAGGTGAATGCCAACATAGCTAGTAAAGAAACCTTTGAACCTTGTTCATACAAATGACAAATCACTTACTGACACAAACTCCACCTCATCTTCATCATTTGCTCCAGTCGGGGAGGACATTGATTTTATCTGGAGAGAAAAAATACATAAAAACTCAACCAAATCGAATTGCACTGATAATCAACAACGTTGTCAAAATCATTATCTATCCATTTCTTCAGTATTATGTCTGGCTGGGCTGATGACGAATAGCTACATTGTTCCAATGTTAGCTAACTACAATGTGACAATGATAACGTTAGCTAGCTACAATATAACAATTGTTTGTTTTAATGCAAGCCTACTCCAATCTGCCATCACATGTGGGTTCAAGACTAGTTAGTTATAATCCCTGCTAGCACTAGTGTGAATGACTGCTCCAACACTTATGCTGACTATCTAGCTAGCTAGTTGAAACATTATCGAAGAAAACACGTTAGACAGCTTGCTTACTGTACTTAGCTAGCTAGCTAACGTTAGTTGGCAGGTTAGTGCACCACAAGCAGTTCGGTAGCTATAACGTTACCGTGCAAATATTCGGTAAACAATGTAACTAGCTAACTAGTTTGATAGATAACTAGCTAGCTAATTCTCCTTAGGGTAAATTATGAAAATAATAAGCACGAGCAGACACTCACCAAGTTGCGTTTTCGCGCAAAAGGGATGTTGATCTTCTGCGGGTGATCCTGGGATGTGGAGTTCTAATGAAAAGCGCACGGCGGGGCTGCAGTCGTATTGGCAGGAAAATAGGAAAATAATTCGTCGTCTTAATTAATTAATTAATTATGAAGGCAATTCTTTTTCTGAGAAAAGATTACACATTTTATTTATTAAATTTAAAATTATTGAACATCATTTTCATTCCATGTAAAATATTCAATGTCAAAACGTCCTCTCTGCTTTAGCTTAGCCAGCTGGCCTACTAGCAATGTTCTATTTAGCAGAGTAATTTCATGACAATTGGGCCTATGTGTTATTACAGTCTAGCCTTATAGCCTAAATAGCCCTTTTCATCCTACAATATTTTAATAATGTATCAAAGACTTTACATTTAAGCAGGTTAATGATAGAGACTGATCATGATTCCCGGGCTGACGCCTTTAAATATCTTGCCATCTGCAGCATCTTTGCTGTGCTGAGCTCAGAGATGCATGATGCTTACTCCCGCTGCTTGAGCTCTAAAAAAGCTGTTCGGCTGAGTCATGGGTTGATGCTTTACAATACGTTATTGAAATCAATAGAACTGTGGAATAGTCTGTAGCCTAGCGTATGTTTCAGACTGCGATGAGACATTCACTATATCCTATGTCAATATATTAGGTTCACGTTCAGCATTTGGGCAGCAAGCGTAAAGCCGGATATCTGTGCGCAGGAGGCGCTGCCCTACATCGCGTTTTATGATGATTGCTGCGGCGTTTTTGGTCTTATTGAGACCGTATAGTATTCAAGTTGTTTTGTTATTATTGCTGCTATTGCTGGGAACTATTGCAACAATTCTCTTTTTCTGTTGCTGGCATCGGAGGCTTCGTAACGGGAAACATCCTATAAAATCTGTGCTTTCAGGGCGCTCAAGGAGTCGCGGTGAGTAGAGGCGTCAGCATCTCCAAGTAGTGCGGCTAATCCACCAAACCAAATGCGTGGCATGTCTGTAATATTTTCAAACATATTCACACGATAACCTGTTAAATAGGTTACAACCTAAACTGTACCCTGTGCTATTTTTAGCGACTTGTTACACTTGAATTGCCATTATTTTCAGCAGATAAACATAGCCGACAGGCTACAGTTTAGACTGCTATGTGCATAGCCTTGAGGATGAAATCATCTATTAGGCTACTGTCAGTGTCCACCTTATTCACAGGTGTACTGTAACGTACACAGTCTTAATTTGTCTAATGGTAGCCTATGATATCCTAAATGTAGCCATAGACAATACGCGTCATATGGGATGTGTTTGAAGGTATCCGAGTGTGCTAGAAAATATTTTCATTTGTCCTAGAAGCTGGTCTCCGGAAGCATCATTTTCGATCAGAGGTAATCAATCATTGGTTAGACAATTACTTCTGTCAAGGTCAGTAGGTAGCCATTTTTTATTACTCCAAATACAAGATTGTGAAGGAAGTATAATGGTGCTCTGTGCTACTTTTATTATACTTTACCGGTATACTTTTTGGAGTTGTGCTATTGTTAGACTTAGTCATGCGCATTGCGCATGTGTGATCAATAAATCAAGTGACTAATTCTGCACTTTCTGCAGCTTGACTGTAATTCTGAAAAAAATATCCACGTTGTAATGAAAAATGACAAAATATGCCTATATAGGCTATAACAAATGGAACATTAAAAACCAACTACATTGAACAAAAATATAAACGCAACACGAGTTACAGTTCATATAAGGAAATCAGTCAATTGAAATAAATGCATTAGGCCTAATCTATGGATTTTACATGACTGGGAGTACAGATTTGTACCTTAAAAAAACACACCTACTCATTCCAGGGTTTTTCTTTATTTTTTTAAACTATTTTCTACATTGTAGAATAATAGTGAAGATATCAAAACTATGAAATAACACATATGGAATCATGTAGTAACCAAAACATTGTTAAACAAATCAAAATATATTTTAGATTCTTCAAAGTAGCCACCCTTTGCCTTGATGACAGCTTTGCACACTCTTGGCATTATCTCAACCAGCTTCATGAGGTAGTCACCTGGAATGCATTTGAATTAACAGGTGTGCCTTGTTAAAAGTTAATTTGTGGAATTTCTTTCCTTCTTAATGCGTTTGAGCCAATCAGTTGTGTTGTGACAAGGTAGGGGTGGTATACCGAAGATAGCCCTATTTGGTAAAAGACCAAGTCCATATTATGGCAAGAACAGCTCAAATAAGCAAAGATAAACGACAGTCCATCATTACTTTAAGAATTTCAAGAACTTGAAAGTTTCTTCAAGTGCAGTCGCAAAATCAATCAAGCGCTATGGTGAAACTGACCCTCATGAGGACCACCACAGGAAAGGAAGACCCGGAGTGACCTCTGCTGCAGAAGATAAATTCATTAGAATTAACTGCACCTCAGATTGCAGCCCAAATAAATGCTTCACAGAGTTCAAGTAACAGACACATCTCAACATCAACTGTTCAGAGGAGACTGCGTGAATCAGGCCTTCATGGTCGAATTGCTGCAAAGAAACCACTAGTAAAGGACACCAATAACAAGAAGAGACTTGCTTGGGCCAAGAAACACGAGCAATGGACATTAGACCGGTGGAAAGCTGTCCTTTGGTCTGATAAGTCCAAATTTGAGACTTTTGGTTCCAACCGCCATGTCTTTGTGAGACACAGAGTAGGTAAACGGATGATCTCCGCAAGTTTGGTTCCCACTGTGAAGCATGGAGGAGGAGGTGTGATGGTGTGGGGGTGCTTTGCTGGTGAGACTGTCTGTGATTTATTTATTTAGAATTCAAGGCACACTTAACCAGCATGGCTACCACAGCATTCTGCAGCAATACGCCATTCCATCTGGTTTGCGCTTAGCGGGACTATCATTTGTTTTTAAACAGGACAAATACCCAACACACACCTCCAGGCTGTGTAAGGGCTATTTGACCAAGAAGGAGAGTGATGGAGTGCTGCATCAGATGACCTGGCCTCCACAATCATCCGACCTCAACCCAATTGAGATGGTTTGGGATGAGTTGGACCGCAGAGTGAAGGAAAAGCAGCCAACAAGTGCTCAGCATATGTGGGAACTCCTTCAAGACTGTTGGAAAAGCATTCCAGGTGAAGCTGGTTGAGAGAATGCCAAGAGTGTGAAAATCTGTCATCAAGGCAAAAGGGGGCTACTTTGAAGAATCTCAAATTTGATTTGTTTAACACTTTTTTGGTTACTACATGATTCCATATGTGTTATTTCATAGTTTTGATGTCTTCACTATTATTCTACAATGTAGAAAATAGTAAAAATAAAGAAAAACCCTTGAATGAGTAGGTGTGTCCAAACTTTTGACTGGTACTGTAGATCCAGAGCATCCCAAACATGCTCAATGGGTGAGCATGCAGGCCATGGAAGAACTGGGAAATGTTCAGCTTCCAGGAGTTGTGTACAGATCCTTGCGACATGGGGCCATGCATTATCATACTGAAACATGAGGTGATGGCGCCGAATGAATGGCACGACAATGGGCCTCAGGATCTCGTCACAGTATCTCTGTGCATTCAAATTGCTATCAATAAAATGCAATTGTGTTAATTTTCCATAGCTTATGCCTGCCTGCCCATACCATAACCCCACCGCCACCATGGGGCACTCTGTTCACAATGTTGACATCAGCAAACCACTCATCCACACAACGCCGTATACGCTGTCTGCCATCTACCTGGTACAGTTGAAACTGGGATTAATCCATGAAGAGCAGATTGAAGGTGAGCATTTGCCCACTGAAGTCGGTTACGACGCCGAACTGCAGTCAGGTCAAGACCCTGGTGAGGATGACAAGCACGCAGATGAGTTTCCCTGAGACTGTTTCTGTGCAGAAATTCTTCAGTCGTGCAAACCCACAGTTTCATCAGCTTTCCGGGTGGCTGGTCTCAGACGGACGATCCCGCAGGTGAAGAAGCCAGATGTGGAGGTCCTGGGCTGGCTTGGTTACACGTGGTCTGCGGTTGTGAGGCCGGTTGGACGTACTGCCAAATTCTCTAAAACAATGTTTCTGGTAGAGAAATTAACATTAAATTATCTGGCAACAGCTCTGCGGTCAGCATGCCAATTGCACGCGCCCTCAAAACTTGAAGCATCTGTGGCATTGTGTTGTGTGACAAAACGGCACATTTTAGAGTGCCCTTTTATTGTCCCCAGCGCAAGGTGCACCTGTGTAAGCCTATTCCCCCTCAGGAGACTTGGCATGGGTCCTCAGATTCTCAAAAAGTTATACAGCGGCACCATCGAGAGCATCCTGACTGGTTGTATCACTGCCTGGTATGGCAACTGCTCGGCCTCCGACCACAAGGCACTACAGAGGGTAGTGTGTACGGCCCAGTATATAACTGGGGCCAAGCTTCCTGCCATCCAGGACCTCTATACCAGGCGGTGTCAGAGGAAGGCCCTAAAAATTGTCAAAGACTCCAGCCACCCTAGTCATAGACTGTTCTCTCTGCTACCGCACGGCAAGCGGTACCGGAGCACCAAGTCTAGGTCCAAAAGGTTTCTTAACAGCTTCTACCCCCAAGCCATAAAGACTCAAGAACAACTAATCAAATGACTACCCAGACTATTTGCATTGATTTGATTTGTAATGATCATGCTGCTTAATCAGATTCTTGATATGCCACACCTGTCAAGTGGTTGGATTATCTTGGCAAAGACGAAATGCACACTAACAGGGATGTAAACAAATGTGTGCACAAAATTGAAGGGAAATAAGCTTTTTGTGCAAATGGAACATTTCTGGGATATTTTATTTCAGCTCATGAAACATGGAACCAACACTTTACATGTTGCATTTATATTTTTGTTCAGTGTACTTAATTACACGATTAACCTATTAGGCCCTATAGCAATACGAAACCCTAGTTTCATCCATGAATTGGAATATGTGTCAGTGTGATCCATAATAATACATTGTTCATCCAACTGGTTAAATGTCTCAAGCATATTAAACGATTTCAGCATATTCTTCTCTCTCCTTTTGGACATGATGTGCCATGTTTTTACAGGGCTTCAGGCACAGCCCGCGCCATGCCAGGAGGGCGCGCGCTCGAGTTGCAGAGGAAAAGCCTCTTGTCGAAATTCCCGAGAGTGATCATCAGAGTGACTCATCCACAACTGTGAGAAAACGAAAAGTGAAGAAGAGAGTCCTTCCGGACTTCTATCACTCAGTACAAGTTACCCCAACACGCAAACCCGTAGGTATATTATTGGGTAATATTGCCTAATGCCAGCAGCCATAGTCATTTATGCTATCCATTTTAAATTAAATCTGCCATGGTCAATAAACACTAGGCCGATTTATTTTATATTTTTCAATTTACAAATATAGGCTACATCGATTATATGGGTCCTTAAATGAATTACCAATCAAGTAACCAATTTAAAATGCGCTCATAATCCCCATTGACATCGATGCAATGGATGGTTTTTACGCGGCAGTTTGCCTTCAATAGTTTGGCCTTCTGTACCACATCATGGCCTTGGTACGCTGTTATTCAAAAAGCTATTGCAGCTTGAAATGTTATGAACACTGACAAATGTTAAAGTTAAAGCCTTGAAATGTATGCAACTTTTTGATATTGCCCATGTTGTCATTTTGCATGTTGACACACGCACCAAACAAACATTTGACATATACCATGCCATAATGTTGCTGCAACTGAATTATTCTCGATTATTTATATTAACAATCATCTCCATTGTAGGCTACAACCCTTAAACCTCACCATATGCCAAACTCATTAGGCTACTGGGGGGGAAAACAGGATGTAGTCCTATAAAATGAATGTTGGTGCATGTGTGTTTTTTGATGTCTACATTTTCTTAGTTTACTCTGTATAAATCTAGCTCAGTATGGACTTTCAAGTTACAACTGACTATCATGAAGTTACTGAAACGATGTATAGACCTATTTGTGTTATGATTACGTTGTTTCAAATGGCCAATATTACAATTACCTCTAGAATAAAAAAAAATAGTGTATGCCTATTAGTAATAGATCCTCAGTGTCAATTTGAATGTTTATTTTCCCAAATGTATAATGTTTGGTTTCTGTAAACATTAACATTTACTGATAGATCCTTTTCTCTTGTATCCTCAAGTTCTCAAGAAATATCTTGATTCTTAATTTATTATTCAATGGATGGTAATAGCAATAGACTACCATTGAACAGTTAAAGAAAATATATTCTAAATTGCTATGGGACTTTTTCAATTCACAGGTAAGAAAGTATGAAGCAAATATTAACCCACCACATAATTGCAATTTTTAATGTCTTGTTTCTGACAATTCTGGGTGTTGTAGTCTTGTAGGAAGGTATATGGAGAAAGTTATTACCAATATTCAACGCTATTGACTTGTAACCGAGGAAAAAGTAAGTTGAGTAAGGCTTGCTGGTTGCTGGTGAATGGTGACTCACCAAGTATGTGGCGGGCGGGCCTGGCAATCTCTTAAAACAAGTGTTTAGTTATGCTTTGTTTGAGGTGGTGGGTTTCTCCTGATGCTATGGTCACAATAAAGAGAATATGGGCCGAAGCGTTGTAGGACCTTTAAGTAGCTGTCCAGTCTTTCCAGATTTCTATGAAATATGACCTATATTTAATTAAAATATGAGTTAAATAGTTTTCCATCCAATAAATGGCAATTAAGTATGTTAAAAAGCAGCTTTTCTGTGTTGGAATGGAGTGTCGTCGTACCCCAACAACAGTGGTGTGGCCATATAGCGGTCATAAAAAATATATGGAGTGGCTGCGGTCTGGAAAAGTCGGCTCTGCAGCCACAGCCTTAAAAATATTAATGCCAGTAGACCGCTGATTGGCCAGCTCATCCTCCTCAGGAGGATGACATCATCCTCCATGAGGAAATAGCAAGCATTTTTTAAACAATCTGTTTGAGATACCAGTTTGAGGTGAGGTTTTTGAAGTGTTTTTTTCTCCAATTTATGCTTTGGCCACAAATATGAATATAGGATGAGTCACCTCCATTGTTTGGGTATGAGTTAACAGAATATGATATTTCAAAAGTGAGATTTTCACTGGACAGTTACTTTAACCCAACACCTAGCGACCCCATCAAGAGGTTTGTACCTCTTGTCTTAACGGTTAAGGTGTTGGGTCCTGGTCAGGGCAACCCCCTGATTTCGCTACAATAGGATATGACCATGACTCAGTAGTCTAAAACCTTGAAGTGATTTTGGTCCTGAGATTATTTTACTATTGATATTTGGAGGGTATAACAAAGATTGATGATCACTCAAATGCAATAAATTCAAAGCCAAAGTTCATGGATCGTTATATTTAAGTCATATTTTACAAGTCATATCATGCATTGTTTGCACCATTTCAAGCACGATTGCTCTCACCATTGAGCAAGAGAATGCTTTGTTGATAGACCCTCAGGCCACAGTAAATGGTCACAATCCATGGTGGGAACAGGTTGGTGATTGTGAAATCACCCAAAGGTAATTGTCAATGTCCTACTCTTGTTCAGATTGCAAACAGCAATGATGTTCTATAATTTTGCAATCGAAGTCAACATGTGACTGGTATGCCCTTTTGCTATTTGACCAGACACACCATGTCTGGATGTGTCAACACATGCTGTGGCTAAGTATTTGTTATGTACCTGCTCCATTACCCTATCCCAGGGCCCAGGCAGACAGCCTACAGACAGAGCCAGGCAGACACACAGACACAGGGAGACAGAGCAAGGTTGTAATGAATAAGCCTACAGAACCCAGATCTTTTTTCATTTATATTGATGATAAGGATAGTGCTCTAAAATTGCACATTCATTGTCAACTAGCAACTAATCAATGGCACACAGAGCAGGCACATGCGCACCAGGCACTAAAACAACAACCCGGCTGTGCATGGCTGATGAGACCAGGCTGATGATAAAAGGATGTTCATGTACCAGTCTGGATTTCTGATTGGTTTTCGACCGTAAACGTGGAGGCTACGCAGTCACCACTAGACACGCACCCACCCACCCAGGATGGCGCTGTAACACCGCGACATTGGCCACAGTTTGCCGATTGAATAATCAGGACTAGAGCGCTGGGATCCTCTAGTCTCCATCCCTCCTCTTCTGTATCCTAGGATGGTGACGCGTTGACATGCTACAGTTCTCGCATCGTATTCTACCCTCCCTGGCCCAATCTATTCACACCTGCTCTGGGGACTTGACATCATTTCGGGGTCTCATCCCAAAGGGGAGACTTCACTAATTTAATGGGCAGAGTGCATCGCTAGAAGGGTGTGGTTGACATAGCCTGCCGCTGTCTGAGCTTGCAGCAAATGGATAAAGGATTTCGATATTATTCAACCGATACCATGTATACAGCGGTAAGTCTTATTTCTGGCCTGGCGGGGGAGCCAGATACAATAGATTTTCATTCTTGCTGCCTGCGTGTGCTTTTTCTTTTTTATTGTTGAATCAGAGATCATTGCTAGGCGAGCTGGTGGCTCACGCTACGGTGCCTCCCTGGAGCTATCAATGTGCATTTACATTAGGCTACGCGCATCAGTTTAGGCAATCGTAGGAGCAGCGATGGTGAGAAATGTTACATTGTGTCTGTCTGACTGTGCTCGTATGTGTGTTGTCATATTTGTGTTGCGAGGGAGCGAGCAACACATTCATCATTTATTTCTATTGTTTTAACAGAGCTCCGGTTCGGGCAACGCTTCCTTTCACTGTTCCATGTCTTCATCGGCCGATTTCTCGGACGAAGATGATTATAGTATTAAATCTGGGTCGGTCTCACCGGCACCAGGGGACACGTTACCCTGGAACCTACCCAGGCACGAGCGACATAAGCGAAAAATTCAGGGAGGATCCGTTTTGGATCCAGCAGAGAGAGCTGTGCTCAGGATTGCAGGTGAGTGTCAATATTTCATTGTTTGTGATGCCAATGAAAATATAACATAAAATAGACCTATTGATTCTGCAAATCTATCAGATATGGCACATTTAGTAACTGCGATGTGATACATTGTAGATTTTTATAAGTAAGCTACAGGCTTTTTATTTATTGTACATAATTACAGTAGACTGACGCGGCTGCTGGACAGTGGACACTCCCATATGTCAGCCGCTGTCACTTCTGATGCATGTCCAATTCAGACAAAGACACGTTTGTACTATAGGCTTCAGTAGCCAATAATTAGGCCCAACTAAGCTTTTGTGTCATAAGTAAATAAACAAATTAGGCTACTGGAAAAATCTGTATAGCTGAGGTGTGTTATTTGCTGTGTGGGAAGGCTCACGTTACATCCTCCATTGTCCATCCAAATAAAATAAAATAAAATAAAAGTTTAATGGTCACCTACACAGATTTGCAGATGTTATGGCAGGTGCACTGAAATGCTTATGGTTCTAGCTCCAACAGTGCAGTAATATCTAGCAATACAATACGAATACACAGTTGTCAGAGTCCGGAATACACTGAGTGTACAAATCATTAGGAACTTTCCATGACAGACTGACCAGGTGAATCCAGGTGAAAGCTATGATCCCTTAGTGATGTCACTTGTCAAATCCACTTCAATCATGAAGGGGATAAAACAGGTTAAAGAAGGATTTTTAAGCCTTGAGACAATTCAGACATGGATTGTGTATGTGTGCCGCCATTCAAAGGGTGAATGGACAAGACAAAATATTTTAAGTGCCTTTGAATGGGGTATGGTAGTAGGTGCCAGGCTCACCGGTTTGAGTGTGTCTAGAACTTCAACGCTGCTGGGTTTTTCACGCTCAACAGTTTCCTGTGTGTTTCAAGAATGGTCCACCTCCCTAGGACATCCAGCCAACTTGACACAACTGTGGGAAGTATTGGAGTCAACATGGGCCAGCATCCCTGTGGAATGCTTTCGACACTTTGTAGAGTCCATGCCCTGATGAATTGAGGCTGTTCTGAGGGCAAAAAGGGGGTGCAACACAATATTAGTAAGGGGTTCCTAATATTTTGTACACTCAATGTATTGTTGTGGAAATTCACCACTAAAGACTCAAACTCAATGTAAATGAACAATCTTTATTATCACGGCCGGAGAGGTTCACAAACTCAATCCAAGCTTGATGAAAACTCACAAGAGGGCGTTCCATTTCAGTCCTTATATACGGCTACACAAACAAGTAATATAAGCATGGTTTACATTATTCATTATTAACATTGGCTCCTGCATGTGACTGACAAGGCTTCTTCTCTCAAAGCTGGGCTCTTGAAACAGAGATACTCCTTTTGGTTCCCAGAGCAATGTTCTGGGTGTACTGCCAATTGGTCTGAGGAGGAAGTCACAGTCACCTGCACGAACCAAGATAGAGTGAGAGGAGATGCTGTGTACAATTCAAGGCTTATCTCTTCAGACAATAAAATGTTCCCTCACAGTATATTTAAATATATAAAAACAAAACAAAAAAATTGTGTGTATAGACAGTATGGACACTATATGAATAGAAAAGGTGTGCAGTAGTTATATAGGTTGAGCCATGACTAGAATACAGTATCTACATATAAAGTGGGTAAAACAGGATGTAAACATTGTTAAAGTGACCAGTGTTCAATGACTCTATATACACTGCTCAAAAAAATAAAGAGAGCACTTAAACAACACATCCTAGATCTGAATGAATGAAATAATCTTATTAAATACTTTTTTCTTTACATAGTTGAATGTGCTAACAACAAAACCACACAAAAATGATCAATGGAAATCAAATGTATCAACCCATGGAGGTCTGGATTTGGAGTCACCCTCTAAATTAAAGTGGAAAACCACACTACAGGCTGATCCAACTTTGATGTAATGTCCTTAAAACAAGTCAAAATGAGGCTCAGTAGTGTGTGTGGCCTCCACGTGCCTGTATGACCTCCCTACAATGCCTGGGCATGCTCCTGATGAGGTGGCGGATGGTCTCCTGAGGGATCTCCTCCCAGACCTGGACTAAAGCATCCGCCAACTCCTGGACAGTCTGTGGTGTAACGTGGTGTTGGTGGATGGAGCAAGACATGATGTCCCAGATGTGCTCAATTGGATTCAGGTCTGGGGAACGGGCGGGCCAGTCCATAGCATCAATGCCTTCCTCTTGCAGGAACTGCTGACACACTCCAGCCACATGAGGTCTAGCATTGTCTTGCATTAGGAGGAACCCAGGGCCAACCGCACCAGCATATGGTCTCACAAGGGGTCTGAGGATCTCATCTCAGTACCTAATGGCAGTCAGGCTACCTCTGGCGAGCACATGGAGGGCTGTGCGGCCCCCCAAAGAAATGCCACCCCACACCATGACTGACCCACCGCCAAACCGGTCATGCTGGAGGATGTTGCAGGCAGCAGAACGTTCTCCACGGCGTCTCCAGACTCTGTCACATCTGTCACATGTGCTCAGTGTGAACCTGCTTTCATCTGTGAAGAGCACAGGGCGCCAGTGGCGAATTTGCCAATCTTGGTGTTCTCTGGCAAATGCCAAACGTCCTGCACGGTGTTGGACTGTAAGCACAACCCCCACCTGTGGACGTCGGGCCCTCATACCACCCTCATGGAGTCTGTTTCTGACCGTTTGAGCAGACAAATGCACATTTGTGGCCTGCTGGAGGTCATTTTGCAGGGCTCTGGCAGTGCTCCTCCTGCTCCACCTTGCACAAAGGCGGAGGTAGTGTTCCTGCTGCTGGGTTGTTGCCCTCCTACGGCCTCCTCCACGTCTCCTGATGTACTGGCCTGTCTCCTGGTAGCGCCTCCATGCTCTGGACGCTACGCTGACAGACACAGCAAACCTTCTTGCCACAGCTCGCATTGATGTGCCATCCTGGATGAGCTGCACTACCTGAGCCACTTGTGTGGGTTTTAGACTCCGTCTCATGCTACCACTAGAGTAAAAGCACCGCCAGCATTCAAAAGTGACCAAAACATCAGCCAGGAAGCATAGGAACTGAGAAGTGGTCTGTGGTCACCACCTGCAGAACCACTTTTTTTATTGGTGGTGTCTTGCTAATTGCCTATAATTTCCACCTGTTGTCTATTCCATTTGCACAACAGCATGTGCAATTTATTGTCAATCAGTGTTGCTTCCTAAGTGGACTGTTTGATTTCACAGAAGTGTGATTGACTTGGAGTTACATTGTGTTGTTTAAGTGTTCCCTTAATTTTTTTGAGCAGTGTACATAGGGCAGCAGTCTCTAAGGTGCAGGGCAGAGTACTGGGCGGTAGTCGGCTAGTGACAGTGTCTAAGGTGCCGGGCAGAGTACTGGGCGGTAGCCGGCTAGTGATGGGTGATGGCTGTTCAACAGTCTGATGGCCTGGAGATAGAAGCTGTTTTTCATTCTCTCGGTCCCGGCTTTGATACACCTGTACTGTCTCCATCTGCTAGATGGTAGCAGGGTGAACAGGCCATGGCTCGAGTGGCTGAGGTCCTTGATGATCTTCTTGGCCTTCCTATGACACCGGGTGCTGTAGATGTCCTGGAGTGCAGGCAGTGTGCTCCCAGTGATGCGTTGGGCTGACTGCACCACTCTCTGGAGAGCCATGTGGTGCAGTTGCAGTACCAGACGGTGATGCAGCACAACAGAATGCTGTCGATGGTGCATCTGTAGAAGTTTGTGAGGGTCTTAGGAGCCATGTCAAATTTATTCAGCCTCCTAAGGTGTCGGTGTGGTGGGACCATTTCAGGTCCTTGGTGATGTGGTACTTGAAGCTTTTGACCCTCTCCACTGCGGCCCCGTCTATGTAGACGGGGCCGCAAGATGGCGAAGTAGTGCAGTCCTGTTTCTGTCGTGTGTCTGTAAATAGCCTGTAAATACCCAGTTTTTTTTGTATTTTTCGTACATATTTCCCTATCAGACTTTTCATCCTTCTACAAAATATACTTTCCTGCAACCCGCCTCACTCAATGTGGAACGGATTCTATTTTTGACTTACCTTTATCTAGAATCTAGAATCTCCAGTTGAAACTAGCTAGCCAGCTAACTAGCTACTTGCTATTAGCCACAGCTAGCGGTGTTTCACCCAGAACATTGGATTTTTTTCCGCGGGATTAATTTTAATCACTGGACATTGATCACTGGATATTTGGCCAGTCTGCACAGCGCGTTATCGACCCAGAACATATCAGTTTTTCCGCCGGAATCACTGAATCACTGGACCTTTAACTCCGGATTCATCGCTACCAGCTGGCTACAACAAAACGGACGCTGTGGTCTGGCTAATCATCCTGAGCTAGGCCCATCTCCCGGCTATCTACCTCTCTGTCAACCGGACGGGACCACCTAGTGTTGACACGGAGCCCCGCCGATCCTACACGACTGGTCTGCCGACGAAATCGTCTGATGTGGTTACGACGTTAACCACGAAGATTCCATCCATCGGCTAGCCCTGGCCCGCTAGCACACGCTATCCGTGGCCTCTTACTCACTAAACTGAACTAGCTACTGAACTAGCTACTTGCTATTAGCCACAGCTAGCGGTGTTTCACCCAAAACATTGGATTTTTTCCCGCGGGATTAATTTTAATCATTGGACATTGATCACCGGATATTCGGCCAGTCTGCACAGCGCGTTATCGACCCAGATCATATCAGTTTTTCCGCCGGAATCACTGAATCACTGGACCTTTAACTCCGGATTCATCGCTACCAGCTGGCTACAACAAAACGGACGCTGTGGTCTGGCTAATCATCCTGAGCTAGGCCCATCTCCCGGCTATCTACCTCTCTGTCAACCGGACGGGACCACCTAGTGTTGACACGAAGCCCCGCCGATCCTACACGACTGGTCTGCCGACGAAATCGTCTGATGTGGTTACGACATTAACCACGAAGATTCCATCCATCTGCTAGCCCTGGCCCGCTAGCACACGCTATCCGTGGCCTCTTACTCACAAGTGCT